TCTCTCTCTCTCTCTCTCTCTCTCTTCTCTCTCTCCTCCTCTCTCTCTCTCTCTCTCTGTTGATTTTCTAAAATTGTTGGAGATGAAATGACTGAAATGGAGGGTCTATCACGAATAGGAACAATCCATAGAAGCCTTGTTGAATTGGAATATGTGATACTGTCGTGGCATACAAACGGGAAGGGATCCTCTGTTTGGAGTCGCGTTACGTATTGGAGCACAAGTTCAAATGGTGGCTAGTACCTTCTTTCCTACCGTACCCAGCTTTTAAGTTCCTCGGCATTCAATGTTCCATATGCTGGTGGGCTCAGGTACCTGACTAGGTTACTACTATGTACAAAGAGCATATGAGGTTGCAATAATTACTTTCTTTGTATCTGTCAAACTTCATCCCGCAATGAATAACACAATCTCTGCCGCCCAGAAAACCACCTAATATACGTTTTAATATTTAATTTATCATATTTCGTATGCGTCAAAACTTTTACTTATCCGGCTGGGGGTTATTGAACAGCAAGCAAGTCTTTGGGTGCAGTTGCTGCCAGGACAATGAACAAGATCTAATCACTCCAGCGCTTGACCTTGGCACCGAGCCGCCAAAAAAGTGGCCAGGTACGTAACTCGCCCTACATAGTGAATAAAGAAGTCCCAAAGTACTAGGTGCAGGGCCATGCATGGTGGTATTCTCCCTTTTTTCTTTTTTTTTTTCTTTTTTGACGATTTCATTTCTACTTGGAGGGAAGAAGAATAAGAAGAAGAAGAAAAGGGTAAAAATCCGTTGCATATGTGTTGAGCAATCATCACAGCATTAACGTTTTGGCCACCTGTCACAATTCATTACCTAGGTACTCTATTGAATCCACGAGTTGATTCTACCTCCTGGAAGACGTACATGCTATGTAGGTACTTTTGCACGTATAGTGTTTTCTTTTCCCATAAGTAAGATACGATCTGGACAGTCATTTTCAGCTTCTATGATTTTCTATGGACTTGGACCCCTGTTCTTCTTCATTCTTCTTCTTTTACATACCCTTGGCTTGGACCTCTTTTGGGGGGGACTAAAGGGGGACCACTATGTACGCTCAAAGGTGGAGTTCAAAAGCGCAAGTTCAGATCAGGTACATGCATACTGCACCTTACTAGCACCGACAGCCCAAGTACCGCATGTATATGTATAGTCCTGTACCTACGTAGGTAGTAGTGGCCAGATTCGCAACTTGCTGCCAGCCTGCCTGCGGTTGACTGGCACACGGCGCAATCCAGTTTCCATAGTACCACTTCTACTAATAATTCAAGCCTCCAGGTATTTGATGGATGCAAGAGGCGTACGTACATGGACACACGCGCGCGCGCACTTCTTTCCACCGAGATCAGACAACGAGGAGGCCACTTGTTAATTATTTTCATGCCGCTTGGATTTTGACTCGAGTCTCGTCCCCAGTCCACACACTACCTAGTAGTAGTAATAGCATTTGCGGCAAAAAGACATTGAGAATATTCATTCACTCATTTCCACTTCCCCTTCTTGTACCTTTTTCTAGACACGTCTCACCTTTTTTTTAATACCGTCACACTCTCACGCCCAACTGTCTCTCACCTGACCACTACTACTCACTCCCTGGACGGTGACCAGGCCACACCATTAGATACACGTACTCTACTACCTACCTACCTACTCTACCAGACCTCGACCAACAAACAGCCGCTGTTAGTTGTCAACTACATGTTCAGCCCCATCATTGCGCCGAGCGAGTAAAAAGGGCTGCATTCGTCGTCGTCGTCGTCGTCTCGTCTCTCTCTCTCTCTCTCCGTGGCTGCGGCGCTGCATTTACAAGAACGAAAAGAGAGGAAAACGACACAACAACAATGTTGGTCCAGTTGCCGCGACTGGCCGTCGTGGCAGCCAGCTTGTTGTCCACCTCAGTCCTCATCAACGGCCTCGACATACCCTCCGACACTCCCATCTCCTCCCTTCTGTCCTCGGCACAGGCCCACCTCGCCCGCGGCGAGACCAGCAATGCCCTCGAGTACTATGATGCCGCCATCGCCAGGGACCCCAGCGACTACCTGACCTACTTCAAGCGCGCCACCACCTACCTCTCCCTCGGCCGCACCTCCCAGGCTTCGGACGACTTCAACAAGGTCCTGTCGCTCAAACCTGGCTTCGAGGGCGCCCACGTCCAGCTGGCCAAGCTCAAGGCCAAGAGTGCCGATTGGGATGGCGCCAAGCACCAGTACGCACTGGCCGGAAAGACTGCCGGGTCCGAAGAGTTTGACAAGCTGATCGAGGCCGAGGGTGCCGCCGCTCTGGCCCGCGTCGCCGCCGACGCCGCCAATTGGGACGAATGTATTGGCCAGGCCGGCGAAGCCATCTTCACTGCCAACCGGGCTCCCGCGCTCCGCGAATTGCGCGCCAGGTGCCGCTTCGAAAAGGGCGAGGTCGAGGAGGGTATGGGCGACCTGCAACATGTGTTGCAAATGAAACCCGGCGACACGACGCCTCACGTCACCATATCCGCCACCACCTTTTACGGTCTCGGAGACACGAACCAGGGCCTCGCACAGATTCGCAAGTGTCTGCACTCGGATCCCGACTCCAAGATATGCAAAAAGGTCATGAAGCAGGAAAAGAGCATTGAAAAGACCCTGGCCAAGGTCAACAAGGCCATGGAGAAGAAACAATTCATGACGGGCGTCAAGTCGCTCGTCACTAGTGGCGACGAGAAGGGACTCATTGACGAGATCAAAGAGCAGGTCCAGGAGCTCAAGACGGAAGGTTTCATTGCAGAAAAGGCTCCTACTGCCCTGCTCAACCAAATCGTTGAGTTGGCGTGCCAGGCCTACTACGAGGCCAATGGCAAGAAGGCGAGCATCTACTGTACCGAGTCTTTGCAACTCGATCCCAGCTCCTTTTACGGCCTGCTCTACAAGGCAAAGACCCAGCTCGAAGCCGACGACTTTGAGCCTAGCATCAACACCCTAAACCAGGCCGCCGAGGCGCGGCCCGACCGCAAAAATATTGTCAACCCCCTGTTGCAAAAGGCACAGGTCGCCCTCAAGCGCAGCAAGACCAAGGACTACTACAAGGTCCTCGGCGTCGCCAACGATGCCGACGAGAGGCAGATCAAGTCGGCCTACCGCAAGCTGTCCAAGCAGTTCCACCCGGACAAGGCCATTAAACAAGGTATCACCAAGGAGGAAGCCGAGAAGAAGATGGGATCTATCAATGAGGCGTACGAGGTCTTGAGTGACCCCGAGCTGCGGGCAAGATTCGACAGGGGCGACGATCCCAACTCTCACGAACAACAGGGCGGTCACCCCTTCCACGGCAGCCCCTTTGGAGGTCAGCCCTTTATGTTCCAGCAAGGCGGCGGCCAGCAGTTCAACTTCAAATTTGGCTCTGGTGGCGGCGGCGGCGGCGGCGGCGGCGGTTTCCCCGGCGGCTTTCCTTTTGGTTAATTGTTTTCTACATGACAAGTAAAATAAGGATAAATAGCAGTTGTTGCGTAGGTGTTTCGGTCCAGCATTAGCCATTAACTGATTTAGAAGCATCATGACTTACTACATGCTATGAATGTGCTTTATTATGTCGATATTGCTTCTCCCTGACCCAAGCGTTTCTACAATCCTCGCATGTCGACCTGGAATCTTGTGAGTTTCAATCTCGTAACCATCATTACCAAAATTACAATGTTGTCCAGCCGGCAATGTAGGTTGCTTTTCCCGTTTACCATCACGTATTCAGTCGTCAGAGTAACGCAGAGAGTCGGATCACATCGTGGATCAAGGAGCACAAATGCAGCAAGCGGCGGCTCCCTTGCCTGAAACAAATCCAAATACGCATCGCTATTGCTATTACTAGCCTGTGAGGACACCCCAAGTCTTGCTTACCCAATGCTATTTCATTCCCACCAAAACTCCAAAAGGCATGCTTGTTTGTCTGTCTGTTGTTGTCGATCTGAACGTATTCATCATATAATATGAAGCCATCTACCCAATAATGCTATGTTCGCTTGCCTCTGCCGGCCACTGCACCGCCGAGGCGCCCAAATTGGCGTCCTATACCGGAGCTCTTCTTCTGCGGCGGCGGTGGCTGTGGCTGCGTGTCCTTTTGGGGCACAGGAGGACCAGCAAGAGGTCGTGGAGGCTCCTTCAGTCCCGAGGCACCCTCTCCATAGCGTATCTCGCCAAAGTCGGGCCCGTCATCTAGGCCGCCACCCAGACGTTGGGCACGCCTTGCCTTGTCCTGGACACTCCTGAATTTCTCCAGCAGCTGTTCCCATCGAATGATGTTTTCCTCACGACCTGGACCCTTGAGCCGGTTCGGTCGATCATAGTTGGAAGTGCTGGGGGTAGTGGAAGAACTAGGGACCAATAAACCATGAGTGTCATGAACGCTTTTAGAACGAGGGTTATGGCTTGAGTAGGATGAAGAGCTGGTGGTGGTTTCGGTGACAGAGCCTTGTCTGGAGTGCGATCCTGATGTCATGGAGGAAGATACGTACGGTCTAGGCGCAATGTGGAGGTATCCTATCGAGCTCACACTGTTGAGTCGATTCTTGAGCGCAGCAAAAGCAGAAGATTGGGGCAGAAGCATCAACAGCCCGTACAGGCACTTGTACAGGTACGGGTACTTCTCCGGCTCCAAGAGCTGAAGACGGAGATCTGGAATCGGGCCTCGTAAGCAGTCATTCGGTCTGGAAGAAGAAAGCAAATTTGGCTCAAGTTGAAGAAAACGTACATGTGAATACTGGTGACTCAATAAGCTGTACGAGCTTGTCGATTTGAATCAGGATATTGACGGTCATTTCAAGCTCGGCACTTTGTGTGTTTCCAGTCAGCAGTTGGGTCAAGTCGTCCACGAGAGCAAAGGTCTTTTCTTACAATATTTGCAGCAGATTATAAGCAGCCTCATATGCCTGGGCTAGCAGACAGAGTGAGAAGGTCGCCACGGCGTTGTAGCACCAGGAGCGAAATAGCGCAACAAAGAATTGCTGCCCGTCCTGCCGTTGGTCCTGTCAGCAGTCTGGTATAACACTGATGATAGCGTCAGTCAACAATGATACACACCTTCGTCTCCAAGTTTCGTAAGCGTTTCCGCAGGTCAGCAAGCTCAGGCGCCGTGATGAGATTGTTGTTGAGGTTCTGGACCATGATGCTGGCGAATTCAACGTCCTCTTCCTTCTCGATACATTCGGCCAACGTCCGGTAGATGCGCTCTGCACTGAGAGACATGCACAACTGTCGAATGATCAGGTTGCCTCTGGTTTCCAAGAGCTTTCTGTCCGTGGAGAATAATTGCAACAGGCTGACCATGAAGTTGGAAAAATAGTCGTCCTCGCTGTTGCGAGAAATCTGCGACAGGAGCTGCAAGTCCTTGGTCACGACGGCCTCGGCTGGATCCGACAGGGTTTTCAGCAGTGCTGGAAAGGTGCCGTCGTTGAAAGCCACAATCTTCCGCGGTGCCTTGCGGTGCAGCATGATGAGCCACGTAAGAGCAGCAACCCGAGTCGCCTCGTGGTCATTCAAAAACAATAGCGTTAACGAGTTGACTGCGGCGGCGTAGTCCAGGTCAGCTTGCGGACTGCTCGACGACGCAGGTGTGATTGCTCGCCGATCCTGAGCAGGAGTAGGACTCTGAAACTCGAGCTCCCTCGAGCTAGAAAGAGAAACCCGAGTACTAGATGCGCCATCCGGACGCTCCATGCCAAAGTTGGGCCCGCGATAACTCGACTGACTAGGCCCAACCTCGGGCTCATCGGAAAGCGACACGACATACTCCATCAACGACGTGTTCACTCTAGCAGCGGCCTGACGGATGGGCTCAACACCGCTTGCCATGGCAGGCAAAAGGTGCGCCAGAATCTTGGGTGTAAATGGCAAGACTTCCTCGGGGCAAATGTCAAGGAATGCAATAATCCAGCGCAAGCTTTCTTGTAGGCTATCCTCTTCTGTACAATTATAGTGTTTAGCCAATCCGTTGCAGCTTTGGTGGGAGAAGAGGGCCATGAATTCTGGTGGCAAAGGGCACGTCCAACTTACCTAGCGGCGAATCCAGCGTCGCAGTCAAAATCTCCAAGATGGCCTTGTAGTTGATTTGCACATCCTGACCGGGCACCCAGTCATCCTCACTGCTCACTTCTCCGTCGTCATCGGACGCGATCGATGACGCGCCATCGTCGCTATCGCCAGCGGCCATCTGCAGGCTCCCGCTGTCAACAGACTCCTCGCGCTTCCTCTTGCCGTCAGCTCGAGACTTTCTACTATCGGCAATCCCCTTCTTCACCCTGGCAATGCGCTTAATTTCATTCAGGAACTTATCCAGACAGGCCTGGGTAGCAGCATGGACGTCTGGGTTGTGACCACCAAGGAACTTGAGCAGACCTCCAAGGAACTCGGGCAGATAAGTGACCAGTTCCAGATCCGGGATAGAGTCGAGAAGAGTAATCCAGCCGACGAGGAAGGTCCGCGTAAAGGGATTGAGGACCCAGACACGCTCCTTGAGCAGTGGGATGAATCTTGGCAAGGAGAATGCGGTTGGTGGGTCCGAGTGGCTCTCCAGAGTATTCGGGTCCTTATCATCATCGTATTCAGGAGCTTCCAGGACAGATACGTAGGTGGCTGCAGACTCTGAGACGATATCCTTTATCAACCGGTCCAAGAGCTCGGCACCATTCTTGACAGAGAGCTCTGAATCTGCTCCTAGCTGGGAGAGCGCGAGAGAAGAGCGGGTCAGAGCAACGAGCATGAAGGTACGAGGGCAATAAGGTGAATGTCGGAGCACATACCTTGCACAGAGCATCGAATATGAAATTGAAGTACTTGAGGATCTCTCCCTTGGCAACCTTGGCGATGTTGTACATGGACTCACATGCGTAATACCGGACGCGTGCATCTTGATCGGTGAAACAAGCCAGAACGGGCGGTACTATTACCTCGAGATATCTGGGTAGCTCCTACAAGGGGCGAGCAAGCAGTCCACAGGTTAGTTCTGCAGGTGAAAGGCAAGAGAGAAGATATGATATGCGGACTCGGTCAAGAAGAATGGTATGAGGGGAGACAAGAACCAAAAAAAAAAAAAAAAAAAGGAATTAATAAAGCAGACAAACATACCGAGCCCAAAGCGATGGCGGCGGCGGCCAGACCAATGAGACCTCCATTGCGTGCATGTGGCTGGTGAACAGCATAAGCATACTCGTTGCAGAGCTGGTCAAGTATAGCCTGGACTCTTTGGTAGTCTTTGGCAGCGGCAAGCTCGCGTATGACTCGTTCTAACCTGTCAAGGGGAAAAGAAGCAAAAGATTAGTGAAGAGATCATGTCGTGGTTGTAGGACGGGAAGCAGAGAGTAGGACTTTTGCTTTTCACCCGCCGTTCTGGCTGGCTGGCAGACTGGTGGGCAAAGCAGAAGAGGAAGAGGAGGGAGAGGAATATGGACACAACAGCTAGGCTAGGGGGGCAACTTACTCGAGAGCTCCGACTTTTCTCTTGTCGTAAAGCTTGTCGTTTAGGAGTCGCTGAACGTTGTGCTCCATGATGACCGACTGCTTACTTGAAGACCCGGACCCAGTCAGTTGGTGGCAGCTTTCATGCTGGGAACCCCGACACGGACGACGGGCGTGGACTTGCAACGGAGGCGGGAGAGGATCTCACGTCACGTCACGTCACGAGACGAGGGACACACATACAGAGAGAGAAGAGTGGAAATGAGATTGAGAGATAAGAGGCCAACCAGAACAGAAGCGGAGAATGAAGCTGAGGGGGAGAGAAGGGGGGTATGAATTTGCAAAATGGAATCGAGCAATTCGTGCAAAAAGATAGCTAGCAAAGTAGCAGTAGCAGCAGCGCCCGCTTCTTCCTTTTCCTCTTCTTCTTCTTTTTTGGAATATGCTTGATGCCTGAGCGAGTCTTTTTGGTTGCGCATATGGTATCTCCCAAAAGGTTAAAGTGGGCGTGGGACGGACACTCGCGGTGTGGACAGAGTAGGTAAGGGTGCCCAGCACTGAGAGCCGCCAGGCCAGTAAGTAAGTGGTAGTGGTAGGTACCTACCTTACCTAGGTAAATCTGCCTGCCTGCCTGCCTGCCTGCCTGCCTGCCACCAGTTGATTGCATACATTACCTACTATGTACTGTACTAGTAGACGTTAGGCACGGTAGGTACTAATGTCATCCCCCTAACCCCCAGCCCGCAGTAGGTATTGAGTGAGGTCTCCTGCTACCTTTTTTCTCTCCAAGGTATCTCTCACCGGACCAGCCCTATATACCTACATAGGTAGATTGAGTGAATACCAATAAAAGAACGCCTACCTAGGTCAACGGTACAGCTTACGGGCAAGGCTGAGAAGGAAGCTGGAAGCAACAGGGATTCAACGGCCAGGAGGGGGAAGAGGGGGGCGGGGTGGGAAAGGCGATGGATGGTTCCAACGCTGCGAGCGCTAAAAACAACGTGGATGCACAAGGTGGCTTACATGTATGTACTGCGTGCGTAGTAGGTTATAAGAGGCGCGGGGAAGCATCTTGGAGCTGCTGCGGGTCCCCTTACCATATATATCACCTTAGGTACCTACATACTCTACCTACATAGTAGTAGTGCCCGTACGTCTCCTTCGGCTATCAGTTAGATTTCGTCCTCTCTCTCAAGGTTTAACCTTACAGTACCAAGACGATCGTCTTGTACCTAGATTCCACAACTCTTAAAAATTCGGAAGCAAGCAAAGTGAATGAATTCGTGTTTACCGACCGTCGATTGACTTTTTTCTTTTCTTTTCTCTTTTTTTGTTTTTCCCTCCGTCACTCACTTCATCCAGTCTGGTTGGTCGCTCTCCGAAACCTACCAAGTAGTTGGAAACAGCTATTTATGGCTGCCCTGGAAATATAACCATTTGACTTGTCCCAATTTAGCCATCATACATATTCATTGTCTGTGAATTTGTCGTATGTTACATACTAGAAACGAACATAAGAAAAGCAGAGTTTGGTCCACTCGAGCTCTGTGCCACAATGCAGTCGACGTAACTCTCACGGGTAGAGTTTGATCCATCCATCTCTCTCTCTCTCTCTCCCCCCCTTCTCTCTCCCCCTCTCTATGTATATATATTCTTCTTCTCCTTCTTATTTTTCCTTCCTTCCCCCCCGACAATTGTTGTTCTTGTTGTTAGCAATGTGGACTTGCGGCGAGATTTCCACTCACTCGAGAGTCATTCGAATAGCATCGGCCCAGTCTCTTCTATTTTATGCTCTCGCTCTTGTGGAATTCAACATGCTCAAATGCCTATACTGATGGGTGTGCTTGTACACAAACATCTCATGATGTAAACTGTATGTACAATTTTTGTAAGGGCAAGCAGCATCTCTTCATAACCCAACCTACCGCCAGTCGTATATGTCCCACTGCGACCAGGCGGCAACTTTCAGCATACTTGCATATCATTCTGTATGTAGTCAATAATCTTATTCGACTACAATGACCCCATCTGTATGTGCACTTTGCAGTAGCAGTGTTCCTACATTCTACAGCGTATACCAGGATGATCGCATGACCCTTGGCCTCGCATAGTCTATAGCGTGCAAAGGCAAAGACAGCCGCAGCACCAAACAACGCGCGGCACGATCATGATGAGCTTGGAACATTAGCTATGATTATCCATGCGTATGGGTGTATATCAGCGGCTCATTTATGCAAGGCAAGTCTAATGTCATAGCGCCGCTTTGCTGTCGTTCTTGGAAGAGCCACTCACTGCTCATTTGATATGGATAACTTTGGCTACATGTGTCCATGTCACTGCCCATCAGGCTGGTAGTTTTCATTGCTGAGAATACATACAACCATATGCCAACGTAACAATACACGGCAAAACTAGAAGTTGTCCTTACATAGTAAAGCCCCGACTAGGCTTGTAAACAAGTATCAAAATCTAAACCCTTGTTTGCCTAAGAAAATCAATCTTAAATAAACCATCGTCTACTCCTGCTCTATACAGATTTCGCCAAGAAAATAAAATGTATCCCTCTCTATCAGGCAAAGACTCTATGATGCAATCCTGTCCCCGCTCCCGATTTATTGTTGAGGTCGACATACTTGCCGGATCGAGTAAAGAAAAGAAAACAAGCAATTTGTGCCTTGTCGATGTCGATATCCCATATAACCTACACCTAGAGCGCCGACACCACCCACAAAGTCCAATGACGAGATGCACGCTATATCATAATATTTGTACAATAATGTTTTTTTCCTAACCACTTTTTGATTTGTCGTTGTCTTTCCTTTTCGAGTCATCCCTCCTCCAAGTATCATTTGATGAGTTGTCCCCTGCTCTCTCCGAGTTATTCCGTGAAGCCATGGCGGCTCGTTTGGCGAAGTCATCCTTTAAATCTCGCTCAGTATTCATATATTCACTTTATCGTTGCAGTACACCAGCCATGCTTGTGCTTACATTTTTGCCCCGTGCTTTGGCAATTCTCGCTGCGGCTTTGGCATCCATCTTGTCCGGCATTTTCCTTTCCTGGGACTCGTTTCGGCGTGTTCAGCAGGCTCGCTGTGAACAAAGAAGGACAGAGGAAGAGAAGAGCAGAGCGCCTGACGAGATCGTGTATGTATAGGTGAATATATCAACCGCGAATGAGCCAAGGATCTACTCAATTCTCATCACGTAAGGGGCCGGGGATCGTGTGAGGCAAGAAGAAGAAGCAAAAGGAATGTGTGAGAGAAAGACGCCGTGATGACTCTGGCAGAGACAGTGTATTGTCCTGATCTTGATGAAACAGCCCAGACACATAAATAAAATTCGCTATGCTACCTGGGCCTAAGCAGAGACTCTCGTCCGCTGCTCAATACTTAAATATATATCTACTCATGACAATTGGGTTATGGAAAGATCGTCAGGTCAGAAACAATCCCTTGCTAAGAGAGAGGGCTCTACGGAAAGTGACGAGGGTCGCTTGTCTGTGCTGAGCCACGGCATATTGCCCCTTTTTAGGCAAACAAGGAAGTCATCGCGCCCACATAACATGGGGATTGCCGTTGTAGCCTTGGATGTATGCCATACCCAAGTGTATCCGGCATCCCGGGCCAAACAAGAAACACAGAGACAGCAGACATGGGGGGTGGGAGGGAAGGGGAAAAAAAAAATCATACATCGACCGTCGTCAGAGGCCGGGCAGACCCTGGCTCGGCTACCCCCATATTATTCTAGAAGGCATGGGCGCGGATGAACAAGGGTTCCGTCCGGACTTGCGGAGGGTAAGGACTCAACGCTGATTGATCCTTCTTGATTTTTCTTCCGCCTTCATGGGCCACTTTCCTCTGACTATCCATACATACGTAGTAATGTATTTTGGACCCCAAAAGTGCCACCCCTCCCCTCACACACAATTCACTACATAGTACATGGTACAGTACTCGCGGGGGAAGCGAGGTGGGACACGTCGAGTGTCACGAGAAATGTCCTCCGATGCAGAAGAAATTGTGACAGCGCAAGATGTGGGACGAGCGAGCGGCTCAAGCAAATATAACTCGTACTTACCTGCATACTACTACTACGTACTTGTGAGCTTACATAAGTATGGTCACTGGGCCTCAGCAAGTGCGCGGACATCGTATGTCACCTCTCGAAAGCCGACGGTCATATCGCAATTGTTTGCCTTGGCTGTCGCCCTTGATGGCATGGTTGAGTAAGGGCTCTCCCCCCTTGACTCTGTAAAATGAATGCCCGTCTTGCTATATTCTTGAGTCCTTCCATCGTCACACGCAACCATTATTATGACGCATGCCGTGTTTTCTACTCATGTCTTAAGGGAAAATGTAAAGAACCAGACAAACAGGCAAACAACCTGTTTGCTGCGTGGAGGGCTATGTGCAAATCAATACGAAGTAGGTAAACTGCCCCAGCAAAGGCACAACGCGAGAGAGGGGGAAAAAAAAAAGAAAAAGTTCACAGTCATTAGAAGGACTCGTCCGTTCATCAGGGTGGGCGCTTTGAGTCGTGGAATCTACCGCATCGTACCCAGTCACAAGGACCAAGCTCGGTTGGGTCGAAGAACTATTCCTCCGGTCTGGACGTCGGACAGATTGATAGAAGTTCGACTGCTGGAGAATCTGGAAATTGCCGTGTTAGCTGCTTGATGCGCCCCCACCCCAACGGTCGATCACCTTAGTTTGTTCAGCCCTGAATGACTGCGTACTCTGTACTGACTGACTGACTGACTGACCGATGGGCACAAATCCATGACACGCGGCAGGTAATAAATGAGCTTGTTGGATTTACACTCTACACACCCGCCCGCCCGCACGTACCTGGTATCGGCAACCTAGCGAAGACAGGGGTTTGTTCTTTTCTTGCCATGTGGGATTCGATGCGATGCGATGGATGGATGGATGGTATGGCAAACTTGCCAGACAGACCAATAACCAGGGGGGGCTGAGTCGACCGAAGCTCGAGTCTCAATTATAGACATGTTGGCAGATGTAAATCAGCGCGTGTAATGTACCCAGGCAACACAACGGGGGACGACTCATCCGAGTTATTATGTTAGGAGAAAACTAAACGTGTAGGCATGTTCGATATATTCCGATGGTCTACAGAGCATATATTCCGCAATTGGCTGAGATTAGCAGCAATTGTTCAGGTGGAGGAGACAAATGTTATACAAAAAATATCAAACGAGTTTCTCTGGCGAACGAGCCACACGTACCGGACACCCCTGTCAGAGAGAAAGAGAGACTGAGAGGGAAAAAAGCCCATGTCCACTCGCTCCGTCCCCTGCATCTTTTCTTTTTGTCCCTCATTTACAAGCTGCCACCGCTTTCCGATGAGCATCGTGATTTTCCATGACTGATTTGAAATTGTCACGGGCCGCTCAAGACAAAACACACGTGAATATCCGGAGGCAACCACAAAGCCCGGCACGACTAAACTCAAGTAGGGTATAGGCCGATCTCTTGACAGGGAATTTCCCTCCTTCGGTCGGAGCAATTGAATTGCAAGAAATACATATGGGCTGGTGGTTGGTTGGTTGGCTGGCTGGCTTAGGATGGCTTGGGCGCACCGAACGCACGCCATGATATTTTTACTACTCCACGTACTACTCGGCTGTCACAGTACCTACAAGGTTTACTGTTTGTTGCTAACCAGGAATCATGCCACCAATATTTCTCATTAATCTACTCTAATGTAATTTTCACTCGTCCGGGGATGGACACCGCAAGTTGACAACACTAGGTAGCTAAGTCAGAGCACGACCCGCATCAAATAACTTTAGTATTGCTTGTCTTGACTTCTTGTCGCTCGACAATGTCATCTCATCCACCGTCTGCACAGTCTCAGTAGCCCATAAAGCCATCATTCCATCCGAGTCCGACACACACGACAACGTAGAATCCGACATTACCTTCAGATAGTAATGATGCTTCGGAAAATGAACCAGATATGTATTATCTACACGAAATCTATCGGGTATTTCCAACACAATGCTCCCTAAGGACCTTGCTCTCCATCTTTGTTTCATAATAAACAAGGTTAAAATCAACCCGCTTGTAATCATCCCAACTTCAAAGCAAATCAATGACCGTGGCCAAACGGATCATCACTTTGAGCCAGGACCTCCTGACACTTGGCCAAGATTGCTGCCTGCCGAGAGACCTCGGCAAGCCGGCCAATGACTTGTTGGTTGCCGCCTACGAAACCATAGAGGGCATATGGTATGTCGACCTCGTCGCAGAACTCCTGGACGAGCTTTTGGGTTCGACGCAGGTTGTGGCGAGGGATGCGCGGGTACAAGTGATGAATGGCTTGGAATTGGAGGCCACCATGGAAGAAATCAAGCCATTGCGGGCAGTCGACGTCCATTGTTGTTCGCAGCATCTTTTGTGGGAACGACTCGTGAGGACCTAAGTCTGCGGTGCTCATGGCGAAATGCGACAAGGTGATCTGCAAATGAACAGGCATGGTCACCATGTGGCTGACCATGACGAAAACAAACCGATCCCACCCGGTCGGGATGGACTTGTACACAATGCCGTAGCCAAACCAAGTCCAGAAGAAGATCTGGCCTGCAAGCTCAAGCCATCTGTGCCACCGAGCCGGGCCCTTTCGGGGCCCTAGGCCGAGGATGATGTACTCCCACGACAGCCGGTAGAGGTTGAATCGACCAAACAAGAGAATGATATAGTACGTGTACTTTTGAATGCCAATGAAAAACTTGGCGGCGGCATCGTACTCCATGACCCGATCATAGTACGTCGACCGCAGACTCCCAAGGAGTCGATGAGAGACGGCAAAGAAGGGCATGTGTTCGATGTCTGGATCATGCTCGGGCGAGTTGGTGACAATATGATGCACGTTGTGACTGCGCTTCCACCAGCCCAAGGACAGGCCGCCGAGGAAGTCGGCAATGACGATGCCGAGGGCGGTGTCGACCTGGAAATTGTGTGTGATGCCCATGTGGCCGGCGTCGTGAGCAGAAAAGACCAGCTGATGCCAGAATGCGCCAAGGAGCGCGGCACTGGTAACATACCAGCCCCAGTGCAGGAAGAGGAGCATCCCGCTAAACAGAAGACTGTACCGAGAAATCTCCACAGCGTATGCCCAATAATTGCATTGATACAACCCTTCAGCCTTGATTCTGTGATTGAGCGCCCGATACTTTTGCACGATATTGTCCTGGGTGGAAGAGTCTAGAGATGGGTATCGGTCGAGATCGAGGCTGACGGCCTGCTTAGTCTGCATGTCTAGATATGTCATTCCATCGTCTTGCTGCTGTTTCTTCTCCTCTCCCTTTGCGCCCTCCTCCGTGGACGAGATGGAAGACACGGACGCGGCGCGATGGGATCGTCCGGGACCGGCACGGTTTCGCAGCTCGGATTCGTCTTGGTCAAACACGGGAGAAGGGCCACGGGAGCTGGACTGGCTCGACGTGATCGGGGATGCAGTGGATGAGCCCCGGACATTCTTATTGTAGTCATCTTGGCCGGACTGGCTGGAGTCGTCGCCGTCCTCGTCGTCGTTCCCGGCTAGTAGCCTGAACTTGCCTCCCTGGATAGGTGGCACGAAATTGACCCAGCGCCCTTGGATTTTGCCAATGCGATAACGCATCATCTGCGCTTTCGCTTCGGCGGAATGTAATCTACGGGACCGATATTAACGTCACTGAATGATAGGCGTCGAGGGGGAGTGTACAAGTGAAGGCAGTACTGACATTGTTACCTCGTCCGTGGCGTCTCGGCCTACCATGTGACGAATGGCCTTGTCACCACCAGGGTGGTAGGGAAGCCATGGATCGGCCCTGAGGACGTATTGATCCAGGATAAAGATGGACTTGCCCTCAGCTATCAGACCCTCAATCTGTCGCCTGGACATGAGTGGGTACGTTTTCTCTGCCATAGCCATTGTTCAGGTGCTTGCCAGGCCAGGCCAGGCCGGGTGGCGGGAGAAGGACGTCGGAAGATGAGTAGGCGGAAAGGCACGTATTGAGTCAACCACTTAGGTACGTAGGATGTTGGAATGAGCGAATAGGTGGTCGAGAGGTTCGTTCAGTCGATCGTGTACGGGTAAATCGGTCGGTCGGTCGGTCAATCACAGCTTTTGCGGCAAGGTGGGAGGGCTTGGCAATTGTTCGCAAAGGACGACGCGTTAGTCGGTACAAGCGGCGTCACTTGGAAGGAATCAATTCAATTCCATGCAGAGAGAAGAAGAGGTGACGACGTGGGTTTTTGACTGGACCAAAAGATCAAGGGGAAATGGCAGACGGAAGGAAAAAAGAAAAGAAAAAAACACAGTTGCGAACGAGCGGTGGACGTTGAATTGTTAGGAGGGACAGTAGATAACAGCCATGTACTCTGTACCTATGTAGGTAGACAAGTATTGAGGTTGGCAGCTAGCAGGTACATATCAGCCAATGGACGTATCGGATCGAGCCACAACCACGCGGTTCTTGTTCTTGGTGGTGAACATAGCCACAATTAGCTATGGTTTATAGTCACTCTGCAATTTTCTTCTTCTTTTCTTCAAAATCTGCATATATTAATTATTTACGTACGTTTGGCTACTATTGTATACCATTTTTTTTTTGTTGAAAGTGGTGTACTTGTACAACATGACCCAAGTAGATAGATAGGCAGAGAAGCATTAGGTTGAGCTTATAAACTGCTCTGCGGACACATGTGCAGCTTTGTTGAAAAAGGTTGACTGCGATTGGTCAATCTGGTGGTGACCTGCATCAGTCCCTAAGATAGTCAAGAATTAGCACCACGATTTTTGTTTTGGGGAGGATCTTATACTTTGTGTGATATAAAGGCTTCTACTTCAGAGCAATGTACCTTATTAGCGATTAATCGGCCATATAGTGTACATACGTCTTGTTGTCCTGCGACTGAAACACATGCGTGCATAGTGATATCTACCTATTGGTTCGTCACACCAAGACTGATTGCCTTGTCATAAAAAAAAAACCATGAATCAATTACCACCTATCTATTCCGTCCCTAATGACACAAGAAGATTTGCCGCTACCTCAATTCATCCCTGTCAACACGAGGTTCCATTGGCTCTGTTATTCTTATGCTGGATTTTAATGTACACCTACTACACCTATACACCAAGAGTTGGTAGGATACAATCTTTGAGTTCCTCGACCCCTCTTACAAACGCCCGGATGCCGTGCGAGCGTTTAGAAGTGGATGGCCTTGGAGTAGGTAGCCATGGCGGCCTCCTTGAATGCCTCGGCCAGCGTAGGGTGGGCGTGGCATGTACGGGCAATGTCCTCAGTAGATGCACCGTACTCAAGGGCCAGGGTAGCCTCGGCAATCATCTCACCGGCGTTGGGTCCAATAATGTGGCAGCCCAGTAGCCTGTCGGTCTCAGGGTCGGCAAGCATCTTGACCATGCCGTCCGTGTCGAGGTTGGTCTTGGCACGAGAGTTGGCGCTGAAGGGGAAGGTGCCGACCTTGTACGGAATGTTCTGGTCCTTGAGTTCCTGCTCATTCTGACCAACCCAGGCGACCTCGGGGTGGGTGTACATGACTGAGGGAATGACACCGTAGTTGACGTGGCCGTAGCCCTTCTTGATGTACTCAATGGCGGCCACGGCCTCCTCCTCAGCCTTGTGGGCGAGCATGGGACCGAAGGTCACGTCTCCAATGCAGCGGATGTGCGAGGCCTTGGTGCGGTACTCGGAGTCAATGACGACACGGCCGCGCTCGTCAACCTCGAGGCCGGCGTTCTCCAGGCCGAGGCCGGCGGTGTAAGGGCGGCGACCAATGGCAACGAGGACGACGTCGGCCTCAATGGTCTCGGGCTTGCCACCCTTGGCGGCGTCAACCTCGAGCTTGACCAGCTCGCCGGAAGCGTCTCCACTGACGACCTTTGTGCCGAGCTTGAAGTCAATGCCCTGCTTCTTGAGCAGCTTCTGAGCCTGCTTAGAGATCTCCGCGTCCATGCCGGGACCACCAATCTGGTTCAAGAACTCGACGACAGTAACCTTGGCGCCCAGTCTTGACCAGACGGAACCCATCTCCAGACCAATGATACCACCACCAATGACAACCATCTTCTCGGGAACCTTTTCGAGAGACAGGGCGCCGGTGCTGGTGATGACGCGCTTCTCGTCAAACTCGAGGCCGGGGAAGGGCGTAGACTCGCTACCGGTAGCAATGAGGATGTTCTTGCCCGTGACGCTGGTCTCGCCTCCATCGTTCAGGTTGACCTTGACGGTGTGCTCGTCGGCGAAGGAGCCGGTTCCCTTGATGTACTCGACGCCGTTCTTCTTGAAGAGGAACTCGATACCCTTGGTGAGGCCGGAGACGGAAGTCTCCTTAGCCTTCATCATGTTCTGAAGGTTGAGCTTGACATCGCCGACCTCGATACCGCGGTTCTTGGTGTCGTGCAGGATCTGGTGGTAAAGATGCGAGTTGTTGAGGAGAGACTTGGAAGGGATACAGCCGACGTTGAGGCAAGTACCGCCAAGCGCACCGCGCTTCTCGATACATGCAACCTATATTGGGTTGTGTCAGAGACGACCTGGTGCCCCGTGGATGGTGTGTATAAATATGTAAGATGGAGAGGATATTTATATACCTTGAGACCTTCCTGACCAGCCTTGATAGCTGCGACATATCCTGCGACACCGCCTCCAATGATGACCAAGTCCTTCTCCTCTGCAAGTAATATGTCGGGTCAGCATATCGGTTTGATAGCAAGGGGATTGCTTGGGTATTTATTGGAGCTTCGAATCATACCAGCTTGGGAGGCGAAACCCCTTCTCCATCGCGACAAAGGGCTGGTGACTGTGGGAAGGCTAGATAGAGCGGCGCGTCGAGTTAGCTGAGTAACAATCTATGCGCAGCAGCCGAAAAGGCTTGTGGCAGCTGCAAGATGCAAGCCATCGATCGCAGAGAGAACAGGAAAGGCAATCGACTTACGAAGACTGGGTGCGGAAGGCCGAGCGGACAGTGGTCCGCGGTATTAAACGAGAAGTCATCATTGTGTCTGCGAGGGAGTGACCGGAAGGACGCAGAAGGCAGAGAGAGAGAGAGAGAGAGAAGAAAAAGGAAGAAACAGAAGAGGCACGCAACTCGGAGAGAGCAAGATTGAGGGAGAGGAAGTTTCCCTGTTGTTGAAGTGTACAAAGCAAGATTGATCGACTATTCGATCTGCTATTTCCCGAGCTTCAAGGGTTCGGAGGAATGAATATGCCAAATGCTGTCACTCTGCTTTGCTTTGCTTTTGGAGTCCTTAGGTTCCTAGATCAATCCAATCGGGCCAGCGAAATTTTGGAGGCCCGAGCTGGGCGCGCCGCCACTGCCCATTGCCCACTCACACAGCTTTTTGGCTGGGCTGGCTAACAATGTACCGCCGCAGAAGAAAGGTAGTCCAAGGTAGTCCAAGGTAGTCGGGTCCAATCCCGTCCGCCCGTTGTGTTGGCCCCAAAGCAATTCGCTTGCTCGGCTTTGGGGGGGGGGGGGTTGGGGGGGGGGGGGGGGGTTTTTTCTTCTGCACCTGGGCCCGCCCCCCATTGCCCATTTCGCCCGATTACTGGATCTGAACGTCGAGGTCCCGGAAAGAGCCGGCTCAGCGGTTGAGTTGAAGTGCTTACATACCAGATACCCTTTGAAAGATAGATACATAGTTGACCAGATGTATACATCGAATAATTAATACGAAATATCGCCGAAGCAAATTAACGTGATTGCAAATCTCCAACACTGCCATTGGATGTGACTACCTTTAGGTGGGTGTTGTCTCTTGTCAGTAATATGTCTGTCTACCTTGATATCAGTTGCAGTTGCTGTGCAGATTCTTCTTTTTTTATATATAGTATATATATATATACTATATATACAAAGAGAGACAGAGAAACGAAAAGACAAAGAGGCACTTGCACCGTAACATTGGGTAAACAGATAAGTATAGAGATGTATTGGACTTGTCGCTCCCCGAGGTCCACCAGAGATGGAGCGGTGAAAGAACTAATGGTCGCGGCACTTCATCACCTCGAATTACAGATCTCTAAGCAACCGCGAAGAGAATCTCAGCATGCAACATGGAACTTCAGGTTCCAGATACTGCTACGTAGGTACATAACCAGTCAGAGCCCAGATTTGGTCAGGATTAACGCCAGTGCCCGTTCACTCAGTCACCATAACAGCAGTCTCATGCTTGGGTACTGTAGTTGACCAGTTTTGAAAATGTTTATTGCCGACCCTATTTATTCCCCCTGCTCGGCTGTAAGTGCGAGTGACGCCTCCAATATGGCATCTGCTTCTTGACACTTCTTTCTGAGCGCCCTTCTCTCGGCTCCCTTCACCAGGTCTGACTTCTTGACAAACTTGTTCAAGAAGAATTGTATGGCTCTACCCAGCTCGGGGTCGAGGACACCAAATGTTTTTTGCAAAGCAGCCTGGTCTGGTGACTCTTGGAGCACCGTAATGAGGAGTACTTCGACAAACCACTGCGTTTTCTCCTGCAAAGCCGCCAGGTTTCGATGCTTGAGAATGTCCAGGCCGAGATTCCTGTTTGCAACCAGGTTTCCATAAAACTTGCCCACATTGACCACGCAGCGAGTGTCATAGTCCTCGTCCTCTCCGTCCTCGAAATCGTCCCCCGTGTCGATGTCCTCGCCCATCTTCCTGAACCGCTGTGTGAGGCATCGCTTGAACTGAAAAGCTACCTCACGATCGCCACAAAAACGGCTGGCCACAAGCCAGTAATACTTGTTGAACTCGGCTTGAGCCTCGCCGCTGCGAACAATGACCTCGGGCAGCTCTTTTCTTTGATGTTTGTTGAGCCGCAGCTTCCGCAGCAAGAGCTCTGCGTTCTCGTAGTCTGTTGCCGAATGCAAGGCAACAAAGATCTGTTGTCTGACCTCGGTGTTGAAGCCCTGCTGCTTTGCGAGCTGCCAAAGGTCCGGTATGCCAAGATCATCATCAACAACAAAATCGGCCGCATCATCAACCACGTCGTTTGCTCCCTTTTGGGCATCTCCTTCCTCCTTTTCTCGGTTTCCAGACCAGCTGGCACCAACAACCCACCACTTGCCGTTCTTGTCGGCATTCTCAATCTCCTTGAGGCCCGCGCCTAGGGGCTGAACCTCGCGGCTACCACTCAATGTTCCAATGCGCTTCCTGATTTGCGTGCGCATCTCGGCAAGGTCCTTGTTGCGCGCGGCGGCCTTTGACTTGTTTGCCTGCAGATTCCTCATTTCTTCCATCATGAAGCTTGTTCTGACCGAAGCACTCTTGAGATCGGCAGGCTTGATGAGATTGATAATCTCCTTGAGCGCATGAGGATCTTCTCGCCGCAAGGATGGGCCGCACGTCTGTATAATCTTGAGCAAAAGCTCCGTGTTGAGTTCCGAGAGCTTGCCCAGAAAGAGGCGGACGTAGTCAAAGACTAATTTTGCGCCCACGACCTGCATATTGTAGAGCTCGGCGAGCAGCATTATGAGATGCTTCGAGGCGGCATCCGACTGCTGCCCGGTGGCTCGCTCGTGGTGCTCCTTGAAAACTTGCACAAGCCTTTGCACCAGGTTGGCTGAGACGTGGATGCCGAGCGCCTTTTGCGCCGAGGCTACGAAACCAGCCACCATGGTGAAGAAACTGTCAGGCCGTGGCTCCGGCGACGAGACCAAGGTAATCAAAAGGTCGACCAGGCTAGAGGTGACACTCTGCCGTGGAAACCGGTCGTAGAGACTGGTGAAGTCCTTGAGTATGCCAAGCATATTCTCGTTGGTAAGTCGATTGATCAAACCTTGTACACGCCTTCGCAATTGCGCATCCACTTCGTCTAACGACTGGCCTTGTTTTCGTAGCGAAGGTGGCACGTACTTGGCTGTTTGTGTTGTAGGCGCAACGTAGGGATTTTCTCTGACCCGGGGCGCTGAAGCGGTGATGTCGTCGCCATCATCGGAGAACCCGCCGAAATCCTCCTCGTCATCAGTAACGCCAGGTCCGACGTCGTCATCCGAGTCCTCATCATCCGAGTAGTCTGAATTCCCCAAATCAGATAGACCGTCCCCCATTTCTTCATCGTCCTCGTCATCGGAAGCATCAAAATCTTCTCCACTCTCGTCATCATAATCCTTTGTGCGATGACTTCTGTTAACGGAGGCCTTTGATGCGCTGCTGGCGGTGGCAGCGGCGGCGGCAATGGCTTTTCTCCTCTTTTGCGCAAGCCATTCGTCAGCCTCAGCCTTTCGTTTCCTCTGTGACAAGGATTCCTGGGTGGTTTCTTCGCCTAGTTCCTCCATATCTCCTAACAAATCGTCCAGGCCGTCCTCGTCGGCCTTGGGCTTCTTGCCCTTTTTGAGTCCGAGTTTCTTCTCCAGGGCAGCAATCTCGGCATCATCGCGATCCAGTCTCTTGCGGTCCGTCTTGGAGACAGGCGGTGCATGACTGGCAGGCTCATTATCATCATCATCCTCCTCTTCTTCTTCTTCCTCATTGTCGTCGCCGAAGTCGGCCCCGTCTTCTTCCTCATCCATGCCTGACTCTTCTTCATCAAAATCTTCTTCGTCCAGATCCATATCAAAGTCACCCTCACTCAGACTGTCGTCCTCATCGGCAGGGTTGATGATGCGAAGCGGCTTAGAGGACTGCTTTGGCTTGGACGGGATGACTGCCGGTTTTGGCGCTCCTGCAGTCTTTGGCCTTGTTGGTTGTGGTGCCCCATACTGCCTGGGAGTTCTGTGAACCTGTTTCTTCTGTACTCTGGATGCTTTTCTTTGCTCCTTGCGCGACTGCTGTTGGGGCCCTCTTCTGCTGTTGCCACCTTTGGAGGACCGCGAGTCGGCGCCAATTTCCTTCAGAAATGAAGCTGGCAGTGCCAGTTTTCCTTGGGGCGGTGCCATTATGTGGGAGTAACAGATGATTATAGTCAATAAGACTCTTTTTTTTTTTCCTTCCCCAAAATCAAATAGCCACTATAGTAGCAATCACACGCCACGAGTATCAAATTGCGACTCGAATTAGTGCGTTGGTCGATTTTGGCATATCAGTGGAAAGAAAACGCGCTGGGCTGGTTTGTTGAAAGTGTAGCAACTGTAAAAATGCCCGTGAAATTTATTTCATGTACATGTCCTCCTCTATGAATTTGCCAATTTAGTCGTTGAAAATTTCAGTGGGTCCCAAGGTACATGTCTGATGTGCGAAGTACCTACCTCAAGCTAGATACGTAGCTGTGGCGCAGAGCCTTTATGCAAATTGTACCCAAGTTGGTGGGGGCATACATGTAATCGGTGCGTGTACCGTCTGGATATTATCTCAGATGCCCAGCAGCAGCAACCTGGAAGTACCTCTGAAGCGAATGGCTGAAGCCCCCGCGCCCCAGACCGTTTTATTCGTCGGCGGTCACTAACTGGAGGTACGGAATACGTCGCTAAATCCCCCAACTGCACATGTGCGTTTAACCAGGCTCGCACATCGCGGGGCACTTTTACACGTTGATTGCTTCCTCCCCCCCAGCACCTCGACTAACCATCACGAAAGACGAGGGGGCCTTGGGCATCGTGTGCACGTCCTACCGAGATCACAAACCACTACAGTCAGGTGTACTCACTCGTACAGTCGACACACGTCTTTCCTTCCCAGGATCAGCATTGCGTTCTTGTGCGGGAAACAGACAACAGATACGACAGGGCAGCCTACCTACCTGTATTGCTGCGATCTTTGCTGCGAGGCAGCCACCGTCTCGTTGTCTAGTGGCAAGATCACTTGTTCGCAAGTTTGCGCCGCGTGTTGAGCGAGGGATATCACATCATTCTTGTGCGCAATGGGTCACCTGAGTAATGACGATGTCAGTTTTCATCTTCCCTATAGGCCTCAATCTTCCTGATCAATTCGCCTGCGTCTGACTTGGCTTTTCACAACCATATCCACATCAGTAGTAGCCCTCAGAGCAGCGCGGCTGACCAATTGATAGTTCTTCGTCAAGCTCTTAGAGCTGTTCGACGCCCGCAAAGGCAAGGACCACGGTGCCATCTACTTGACCCAAAAGCGATGTACGACCCATGAGACTACCCGACTCCAAAGCCCCCCAGAATGATCAATTCTAATTCTAGTCCACAGTGTCATATGGTCAGGACGCCCCGGAACCGACGAGCGCAAACCCGGTACCAGACCTGGAGCCATCCAAACCACTTCCCATCCTCATCCGGGCCACCAACGGCAAATCTAAGGAGAAGAGAAAGGAGAATCGCAAGCTCAAACTTTCCACTGTGGTAGAGGCAGACGCCCTCCCCGCGTTTTTTGAACGCTATGCCGAGGTGTGTAAGGCTGGCATGACGACCTTGAAGCCGAGAGACAGGAGTAAGAGGAAGGGCAAGGCGCGGAAGAAGAAGGGTGGCGCCCCCGTCGCCGCAGCAACATGATGAGACTCTCGCCGGGGGCGGGGGTTGGAGGGAGAGGGCGTTCGAAGCGTAGGCGATATACGACAAGCAGCAGCTTGATTTGACTATCCATGGCAGGAGCCGTATACTTTTATGGTCGGCAGTGCTGCCGGCAGCTGTCTTCAGCCCACGGACCAAGGAGAGAAGAATTAACAACTACGAACTCATCCATATAGCTGACGTTGTTGGGGCTTGGGCTTCTCAGGCTGGCCCATTGGCTGTGAAGTCTACTCTGGCTGAACCAGCAGGGCTGGCTAACGAGAGTACAGAGTTGATGGCATACGACTCCATGTTCATGGCAAGTTCATTGTGAGCATGAATACACGAGAAACCAAAGAGAATATTCATATTCAAATCTACCATCCACACTCTACAGAGCGTATCGTGATCATCAGCCGGCTCGCTTGGTGCTATGCCTCGACTTTCCGCCTTCTCCTTTCCCTCTACGCGCCACCTCAGCTCATTAAACCCACCTGCGATAAATCTCATACCCAAAGGGCCATCACCCGTCCTCAGCAATATCCTCCAGCACCTCTCTGATCTCCCGGCAAGCATCACATTCAGTCTTCGTCGGCTTTTTGGGGTTGCCAACCCACATGCACAGGCTGAGCGGACATTCGGTCCCGGGCTCCTGGCTCTCGCAGCTGGCCAGCTTCTTGTATGCCGTCCACACGCGCTTGCAGTTGGTGCATTTCAGGGGGTGGAGTTCGCACATTCGTCTTGACCGTTCTGTACAGGCTGATTGACTGCTGTCGGGAGCTTGTTGAACTCCGCGTGAGAAGAAAAAAAAAAGTCCCTTGATTGTTTCAATCCTGCCCGCGAATTCGAGTGAGCACATATAACGATATGATTCAAGTTTAGGCTTGGCTTTGCTGTGTGATGATATTAAGAAGGAGAGAGAGAAAAGACGAATTATCAGGCCTGGGTGCTGGCTGGAGATATAGTATTAACAATGTTGGTCAAGATGCTTCAAACCGATAATCGCACCTCTAAATCTTTCTTGTGAGGTCCTGTGACTTCTACTCCATCACCTTGGCAGGGTACCATGGGGGCGAAAAGCCGAACGAACGAGCGGTGCGAGATATAAGCAATAAAGGTGCTTTCTATTCGATCCGTGATATTGGACTTTGGGGCAATCTCACCCACAACCAACATGACAAGCGTTTTGGAGCACAAGTTATCATTACGACGTAATCCGAAAACCGTTTCAGTGTCCCACACATCTCGGTCCTGTGTTGCGGATAGTGAGTCAAGCAAACGCAAAGTGAGAAGCGAGGAGTCGGCTTGTCCCGCCCTGCCAAGTGATTGACCACCAATTTCCGTCTCATGGACAGCTGGAATTGCTCAAGTTTCAGCTCAAAGTGCCGAGATGAACGTACAGGTACCAAGCCAGTGGGCTCCTCAGGCGGTTTACCTTTCACAATCGTCTCAGATACACAGCATCCATTATCATGACCAGCAACAAGCTGCCCTTGGCCCGGTTTCCACTGCTGTGTATGTCGAACATAGCTTGCCATCGATGACTGATTAAAGATGTATTGTATTTCTTCCGAGTCAATGCTTCTTCATTCTTCTCAAGGTCGGACAACCGCCCGCATTTAGTAACACTTCTCATGTCACCGCACGAGCTTCCGAGATTTGGGCACGAATGACCATATAATGACATGACAGCCAGCACATACGATGAACAGTGGTGGGCCAGCCAAGTGTTGATTGCCCGTTCTCAACAGCACCGCCGCCCTGACATCACACGTAGACATACCCGCACAGTAGTATTACTGTGCCCATCCGAGCTGCGTCGTCGATGCAAGCCCAAAGCAGTTGGGCCAAGGAGTATTCCGCAAAATAAAAAACATCTCACAACCTAGGCAAAGTCACTCCTTTGTATAACCCAATCCAACGCCTTTAGTTGCGCCTTGCAATGAGCCAGCCACCAAGCCGAGAAATGTCAGATGCTATTTGAAGGACAATCTAGAGTTAAGCCTTCTGAAAATTCTCTCATCCCTCACAACAGGCGATTCCTGGTGCAACAACACATGCCACTTGAAACAGGAAAAGAATAAATGAAGTGGGAAAAAACTTTTTGATCTCATCCTCCTCCCTATAAACTGGTCTCCAATGGGCTAGACCAGTATTGCCAGGCTGTTGATGACTTGAGAGAGCAGGCGCAGGGCCCAGCTGCAAGCGGAAGGGCGGATACTCTTGGTTTTAAAACCTTGACTTCGTACAAATGCCGCGATCCCAACAACTAGGACGAAAACAGGTGCCGAAAAAAGGAAAATGTAGTACAGAAAATATTATAAGACTGGGGCCCCAGAGAACGAGAGTTTTGTGAAGCTGTATAAAGCATTGTCGATCTGATTGTGGAATGCCGTCGCCATAAATGGAAATGGGGACGAGAACAAGCGTCAAAAAGTTGATCAACACTTCTGCGTGGATTTGATGCGACTTCTTCAACATGGATTCCATACCAAGCTCTCACATGATCTGATCCTGGGTCAGACCGCCGTGAGCGTCCGTATCCATGGCATCGCCACTACCGCCGGGTGGCAGGTACTTGACAAAGCTCAGGCCCAAAGGTCGGCCGCCGTACTGATAACCCTGAAACTTGGAGATCGAGGTCTCGGCTGTCGCGGCGCTGTCGAATCTGACAACTCCGGTTCCGCGGGAACGGCCACTTGGCTCGTATTGGATCTCAGCCTGTTCAACCTTGCCGATAGTTGTGAATAGCTCCACCAAGTCTTCGTTGCTAGTGGACCATGGGAGCTATGCAAGTTAGTAGCAGCTCATGGTGCAGGTGTGATTCCAAGGCACTTACATTTCGCACGTAAATAGTCTCGCTGGGATCGGTACCGCTCGTGGCATAGTCGGTGAACGGGTTGGGGGCGGCAGGTTGAGCACCACCGGTGGCACCGGCATCGTATCCACCGCCACCGCCACCGCCTCCACCGTATCCACCACGGCCGTAACCTCCACCAAAACCTCCACGACCTCCGAAGCCCCCGCGACCGCCGAAGCCGCCGCCGAAACCTCCACGGCCTCCGAAGCCCCCGCGACCGTAGCCGCCGCCAAAGCCACCGCCGGGGCCTCCAGCGTACCGGTCTTCGCGGACTTCTAGTTGGCGACCTTGCCAGTCGTAGCCATTGAACTGCTGAATGGCATTGCGGGCATCATCGGGGCTTTCAAACATGACGATGCCTGAGCCTTTGGGTCGACCATCAGGGCCTAGATGGACGTCCGCACGAATGACCGCACCGTTCCTGGCTGAAAAAGCAAACTGTCAATGATGTGCTAGTGGACACCGGAGCAGAAGAGGTCTTGATAGGGATGCGAAAGAAGGAAGCAGGTATTTCCTAGGGCGCATTAGAAATATGGCGACTTACCAGCTTGTCTGAAAAGATCCTTGAGATCCTGCCAACCAACAGTGTAGGGGAGCTGCCAATTTGTCAATACCAAGAGCAACAAGCAAGAACGGGTAGCAAAAGAAATCTGGGATAACAAACGTTGGACACGTAGATCTGGCGGCCAGCGCCGCCGCCGCCGCCGCCACCGCCACCCATCATGCCACCTCCGCCGTAGCCACCGCCTCCATAACCACCTTGCATACCGCCACCGAAGCCGCCGCGGCCTCCTGCTCCTCCTGTCTGTGAATTACTGAATCGAGGCTCGGCTTCACGGTCCTACATATGGAGTGAGCATTTAGATATCACGATTGTGGTGGTTTTTTCAAGATCAGAAGCTTACTTCGCGGACGTAGACGAGACGACCCATTAGGTTCTGGTTGCTGAGAGTTGCAACTGCACTCTGTGCTTGCTCCCGTGTAGCATACTCCACAATTCTAGTTTGAAATTAGCCCAGTACTCATTTTGCTTTGGATGGTTTGTGCTCCGTCATGGAGCAGTTTGAGCTTGACTTACCCGCATCCCTACATGTAACCGCGGACACAATGTCCCACCCGTCAATCCATCAATTCCAACAAGACCATGAGGGAGAAGAGCCAGGAAAAGGGAGAAAAAAGGGGGAAGGAAAGGACCAAGCCATGAATCACGTGTAGACGCCCACCTTCGACATTCCATTCGGAAGCAATAAGACATCGGCAAAGAGAACTTCTCCAGCTAAAACAACACCAGATCCGTCAGCCATCTCTCCTTTGCGAGCTATAGTATCCAAGCTCATGAGTAGGACGCACCCTGTCGCATAAAATCCTTGAGGTGATGCCACTTCACGTCGTAAGACAGGTTGCCGACATAGACGCGGCGGTCTTGCTGTGAGGTTTCGCGAATGTTACTCATCATTTGCTCACGAGCGGCTTGTCGCTCTTCGTAACTACGCTGAGGCGGACCTCCGAAACCCTGACCAGATCCTCCAGCAGCGGAACCGACACCCGTCATAGGGGAACGTGATGAGCGTCTGTTGGATCTGCGATAATCGTCCCTGTCCCTACTCGGAGACCGGCTGCGTGAGTACGATCGACGTCGACCAGAACGACCTGGGCTTCTTGATCTTCCACGACGTGGGGAGCGAGACCTCTCACGCTGTGACGTGTCAGCTACTTGGTCGTTCATGAGCGCAAACGGCTCCGCAAAGAGATTATGATGAAGAGCGATATGAGTTATGTGCAAGACACAACAAAAAAAAAATGTATGTGGTGGTCGTGCGGGGAACGAGTTCCCTTCCCCCCCTGCTCGGGTTGAGAGACGTGCCGCTGCCCTCGCGACGTGCTGAGCCGCTCTTTGAGCAAAGTTTAAAATACCGGTAACATCCCGCTATTATCTCAAAAGGTAGACATAGAGTGGCAAGGCCTAAAGCTTGTACCGTCGCGGGCGCGAGAGAAGCCAACCCGAGCCAAGAAGGCCACGGGCCCTGGGCGAAATGCGCCGGATGGGACCCAGTATATAGAGTTTCCTATGCGCCACCATACTTACGAAGGGCACTATCGAAGACACGGGGTGATGGGTGCAGAATACAAAAAGAATATGGGAAACCGTCCCGCTACAACAAAAGGCCACACGCCAAGAGACGAAGGAGTTGTACTTACTGGTCGATATGTGTCGCCAGAGTCGGCTGCGTATGCGTTAGAGTCGTCTAAGAAGCGAGTTGGTGAGCAAAAGTATAAATAAGAAGGAGAAAATGGGCCAGAAGGAAATCGGGGTTAGAGAGAATATGAGGGATAAGGCTAGACTGTGGCAAGCTGGCGGGCCGCTGATGCATAAGTGATCGAGCAGATCAGGAAAGGAAAGTGCCTGGGGGGTGGGTTGCGCATGTATGTATGTACGTATGTATGTAGGTGTGTGTGTGGAGAGAGGGGGAAGGCATGGTTTAAGCTCCGTAGAGAGACGTCGGCTCCGTGGATTGACATGAGCATTAAAAACCTATTGAGCAGCGAAAAGCAGTGCACAATGAGGGACCTGCCACTAAGAAAGTGTGATATGACAGCTCTGCAGGGACTGGCTGAGCTGGCTCGGTCGGGATGGATTTTTTTTTTCCTTTGAGGGAGACAAGGAAAGAAGGGAAGGGCAGTTGATACGGAAGACGCTGCTGTGGCTTGGTACCACGGAAGCGGATGACTTGCAAGTACAGGGTGGCGGCTTATACGTCACGGAGGCACTTTGTTGAGCACGTAGGCGAGGAAGAGCGAGGGGAGAAGAGGATAGAGGGGATATGTAGAGACGCGTCGAAGGACGAGCGTAATGCAGTGATCGGGGAGCAAAGGACAAAGGTGATGATGCGTAAATGGAACAATTAAAACCAGGGACAACAGCAACCAACAGACCGTGTATATGGTTTACGTTTTAATAATCGTCCCAAGTACGACTCGAAGCCATAAGGGATTATGATGGACGTGGATGGAAGTTCAGAAGAAGTAGGACTTACCCATGGTTGTATATTTTCGGATGGTCGACGCCTTTGGGAAACGTGACTAGGTTCCTTTTCGGAAGGGGGGAAAGTTATTCTCTCGGGAGCAGGCGACCAAAGAGCAACCAGTGTATGCCTATTAGCAGTCTCTATGTAAATGATGGAGGGGTCAGCTTTGAAATTGTGGCCGAGGAGTACTTGGGCGGTGTTCCCGTCGGCACCCCCCAGGCTGAGAGCAAAAGAACACTGATGGGCAAGACGGCAAGGTACAACAACAAGGGCAGGCAGTTGGTCCTCTATCGAGAGAGGAGTGAGAGCACCAGGAACGCGATGCAAAATGTGCAACGCAGCCGCGCAACAGAGTCGAGATGATGGTGAAAAGGGAGCAGGTGGTGGTGGTAGCGGCGGCGGCGGCGGCGGCAGCAACAGTGCTCTACTGCTACAGGTACTGGTGCTGCTGGCTGCAAGCAATCATGGAGATGAATGCAGGACTGGCAGCTTTTTTGGTGTGATGCAGGCGACGGACGGGATCGCCAGTCCGGTAGCAAGCAGTAACGCGTAGGTAGGTAGGAAAGGAGCGCAGCGCAGCGCAACGAAGAAGACAGACACAAGCAAGCAGTGAGTACGGGAAACGTTTGTGTGCCGAATCAGGAGCCGGAGTCGACAGCTTTTCTTGCTGTGTTGCGTCTGCGTCTGCCGTCTGCGTGTCGGGCCTGCAATGCGACGACGGCGCTTGGCCCTGGCCTACCTACATTTACTCTGCCTTCAGCCTGACTTGACTGGATTCTTGTTTCTGTTTTCAATGTGGTCTTTGGCTGGCTTCCTGCCCTTTCTCTCTGGTGCTGGCTAGTATATTACGGCTCTGTCTTTGCCTGCCTATGCCTGCCTGCCTGCCTGCTTGACTGTCTTGTCCGTCTGTCTGCCTGTCTGCCAGCCTGCTTGCTTGCTCGCTCGCTCGCTCTATGCTCATGCCTGTACCTGTGGCACGCTGGACTGGGCTCGGCTGGGCTGGGGAGGAGGGGGGGTAAATGTGTGTGTGTGTGTGTGTGTGTGTGTATGCGAGTGGGTTATTGCGGCGGTCTCGCAAGGTGACCAAGGGCCAAGCATGACCCAAGTCGCACAGCGGCGGCTCATGCATGGATGGGTGGATGGAATGGAGCGGAAGGGGATGGAGACGAGGTTTGGCGAGCCTTACGTACCTTTGACTACCTTACGGAGAGGAAGAGAGAGAGAGAGAGCAACTTTGCTTGGATGATGGGTGGATAGGTGTACGTATGTGCGCCCGGCGACAAGAGAGACGAGGCCGAAACTCGATCGCGCTGCGTGACTGTGGCTGCTGCGTAGCAAGAGTCCAGCAGCAAGTCAGTCCGTTTGTTGCGACGCGTGACGTCGAGGTGTTGACTGATTGATGATGGGCCCTTGGGGAAATTGAAATAAAAAAAACCAAACAAACAAAAGAACAAAGCACCACAGAGTGGATTGATGACGGCGACAGAGTACGGAGAGTAGCTGGGCTGGATGAGGTTGCCCGAGACGCGATCGCAAATTGGTGCAAGCGAGAAAAGAGGAGCTTGAGATTCGAAGACCTCAGCAGCTGGCTTGGAGCCTGGTTGGACTGGACGAGCTTTGCGCCTTGCCTCGTTCTGCCAAATACCCAAGTCGCGTTTTGGTTTGTGGTGGGCAGGACCGACCTCAGGTGGGGGCCTGCGCAATCAGAGTTGAGCCAATCATGTTCTCAAAACGCCTACTGCATCTCGTCTACTTACGGAGCACATCATTGATGTACAGACGGTACGGAATTTGTACGTACTTGTTTACGAGCATCAATTCACACACCATGCCCACAAAGGCATGATGTTAGCTGTGTGCAATGAAACCCGCCAGCGAAAGAGCGCGCACCTCTGTAAGTCAATCATGCAATGTTCATTGACCTGGCAGCTCAAGGAGACCCGTGGACTCATGTACCCCGATTGAGCCATCATGTACACTTACATCTACCCCTTCATGGAGTAGTATGTGCACTACGTCCACTGGTTAGATACATGTTGGACATTCGACTGTAGGTATCTGCTTTCCAACATTGGAGTTGCACATATATGTTGAGCACAGATTGGGAAACCCACAAGATTGCGGCGATTCACATCTCATACCGCATATACACTAAATACTCGTGGCCTCGAATGCTCACTCTACCTGGTCAATGAGCCTATGTGCTGGCCAAGATGACGAGACTTCAGGCACGCAGGAATTGTCACCCAAAGTGTGCTGGCCTCGGAAGGTCTGTCTCATCAATCGAGGTACGTATGCAGTAGAGTAAGAGAAGGTGGGATGAAGCGAAAAGCAACGCTGGAATTGTCGTGAAATTAACAAGACCTGGATAAAATGAGAAGCCCTGGAGGTGACTGAAGCAAATTGGCGTAAATTAGTGTATAAAATGCCTACAATATACGACATATGATGTACCTTGCCTACCTCAATGTAATAGCGAAGGTCTAACTGCTCCTCTCTGTTATTTTACTCACTTTACATCATCGCCTCCAACACTGGGAGCAGGAGCCTGGTAATTGTCAGCTACGGGCTTTTTTGGGCATTTGCCCACTTGGGGCATCCCCTCGGAAGAAGAACCCGGGCCACCAGGACCTGGCCCTTGACAGGGATTGCTGGCTTGCTCTCAAGTCTAGGCACCTGAGTTCGAGCCAAGAACCCGCCCATCTGCCTCTGATTCGTCCAAGAACTGATGCACTTCTAATTACCTACATCCATTCATATCGCAACCTTGGAGACACACTGCCTTCCAATTCTTATTTTGCTCCAAAGAATTAATCCGCCGGACAACCATCCTTGGGGCGATTACCCTCTCCTTGCCTTTCAGCGCAGCAGGGGTTTCCGGCGAGAAGAAAGACCAATACGTAACTCTCTGTGCTTAGCCCGAAATTTGTCGCTTGTATGACTTGACTTGTGCTTACTTAGCATCTACGAGGGGCATTCAAACAATTTATCTAACACGTGTACACTGAACAGTAGGTATCTATAGTACCTACCTAGTAGTTAGTATAAACAAAATCAACATGAGCTAAACAGGGCGCCATATCTACATTAATGGGCACACTTGCGTTGGATAATTAAGATGAGAGTTCTATCCATGCGGGACAAATAGGGTGTAGGCTCGTCATCCATCGCGTCGTTTATGATGTACATGGCACCGCAGTTGGATAGATGGACTTGTGACATAAGATAGATCAAACCTTTAATTTTTTTTTTCCTTCCCTTTATTTGCTCGGGCTTTCAAGTCTGGCCGTGTCGTCGAGACCTGCAGCCCTCATGTACGGCGCAAGCCACACTTCGGCGGCTGCATCAATGCCTACAAGGTTGGTAGAACCGATTCTTATTCGACCATAATGGTTAGCCCTGGACCAACCGGATAACCATGTATCTTTGCCTGCTGTACACCAAATACTCCATCCAGTCCTGTTTATCTTGTGTATCTCGAATCTTTCGTAGCTATGTACTGCTAAATCCGAGAGCTCGTGACAAAATCCCCAGCAAAGGAAGTTGCAAAATTGTCGACTGCTGCGCCAGAATCTGGGCAAGGTTCTCTGAAGCAGCTACTCGCTAGTAGCAGCCTTGATCCATTCACAATACACGGTAGCTTTTTTCAGGTACCTTGTTGAGTGTTCAGTAGCATCACGTCGGGTTATGTTACCAAGCGTGTATGTATGGCGGAGGCGATTCTTATTGAGATCCACCAAGGTGCAGAACTGCCGCGAGAGACAGCCATGAAATCAAATCTAACTAATGCAACAAGCCCTGGGGATGATCATGTCTTTGTCGCTTCTCGCCAGGACTTGTGCATGGCGCAATGCGGATACTGGCCACTTGTTATCATAAATTGGACGAAAACCCTAGTATTGCACATTCTCTCCTCGTTCTTGTGCTTGATATTTGATCTCGGTCGCAAATAGTATCCTACTCATCTAAAGTCTCCATTCAGGGCAACGTTTGATCTCTAGAGATCGCAAAGAACGGAAGTGTCTCTTTTCCAATCGGCCAATCCAATCTTTTCCGAACGAGGCGGGCAGACTCTTTAAGTGTAAAGTTCATGCTGAATTGTAACACATAGGACTAGCTCATGTAAGGCCTGTTGTTCTTGCATTGCTACAGATTGCTACTACTTTTGTTCCGAGGCAATATCAAGGGATCCATATAACCTGTCAGAAGGCGAGTAGTCAGTGGAAAAAAGTCAACGTGGCATGGTCACACGCACTGCTTGTCTTCAAACCTTGAGTTCGCGATACGCGGAATGAGCTGCTTTGCCCCAAGGGTCGGTCGGGCTCGACTTATCAATTACATTATACAATCTATTTCTCGTGAACACGCCACGTATCGTAACGTCCAAAGCTCTCTGTTGTTGGGTCTAGCCTTGCAAACTTTCTCCGTCTCAACAACTTCCAGGAGATTTATCTTAAATTTTGGCAAATGTCCATGCATATGTGCCACACCATTATTCAAATCTATCTTCCGCCGAGCCACCTGGAAGCAATCACGTCTAGGTATTCCAGCCTCCTCATTCGAATCATGAAACGAAATCATCCCCAGAGCAATGCGAGAATGAGTATAAATATCTTGAACCAGTAATTGGGCACATATGTAGATGCTTGGAAATCCGAAAATGGCAACCCTCCCAGTACTTGGTTCGCAGCATACTAAAACTCAACAGTGCTATGCCAAGTCATCAGCCCGGTTCAATGACACATCTTGCAAGGTCACTGCTGCTCGTTGAGAAGAAAAAACAGAAACCAACAAAAGAAAGAAAGGAAGAATACACAATGACAAGGATAAATCATAATGGAATATCTCCACCGAAATGAGAGCGCTTCACTACGACTACCCCCGATCGTGCCAAGTCACAATGCTCTACTTTTCCACTAAAGATGATAATTGGTGATATACGATTTGATTTCGACTTCGAGAGTGTGTTGATATATATTAACCATACCAAGCAGGTTCGCTGCTTTGATTTGGCTGGTGAACCCGCCCATCCAGAGATATATTTTCTCTGGATCTTCTCTCTTTAAGAAAATTATGTCAAGCTCTACAGACCACGGCTGCCGTGGGTGAACTCCCTATGCTTGGTATTCTGGCTTGTGGTGAAGACGGTGAAAATGGGAAAGTTCTTGTTACCCGTTCTCCGATCCTCCGCGTGTACAGAGTGCACTGGATTTAAAGGAATGTCCTCACCCCTCACTCCAATCAACAACGTCGCCAATCCAGTGAGTTGGTAGCGTCTGTCTGGTCATCTTTAGCTTTGGGTGGAAAAAGTCCCAGTATTCATACCGAGAGTTCTAACTGAGCTCCCCGAGAAGGTTCTTGGCAAGGCCGCATGCTGTAGAGAAGGCAGCGTTGGCGGGCTTTTTTTTTTTTTTTTTTTTTTTTTGTAAGACGGAAATCATGCGGGCAGCCTGTTTTGCCCAGGGACGTACAGACCGCACCGAGCCGCATCCTTTGGAAGCAGAGTGCCTCTTCGCTGTGAGAGGGTTGTATTCATCAGTCCACAAAGGGTATCATTTCGCCAGACCTACGTGCCTAGGCACCTACTCGCACACATTACTATGCCAAGTCAGTGTAAGTACGGTCCTACGGCCTCCCTTGTCTTCCCTGTTACCCTTTCAGGTGGCGTACATGGTATGCACAGAATCCCTGTTGCGCATGGCGCCACTCACGCCAACAGGGAGGTTTCACGGCTGGTTAGTGGCTCGATGTCGTTGGTGCTGAAGGCATTGATTGGCACCTTGAAGAGTAGCCTATGTATTCCGTAAGGGAAAGCGAGAGTTGTACGATGGAGGGAAAGAAGAAGAAACACAAAATACAATAAGAGGGTTGCCTCTGGAATAGGTATAATAGAATCAAGGTATTTCCGAATGATGCTAGCACCAATCAAGAGACATAATTATTAATTACTATATCTGGTGACTTGCGCGATCGTTAGCCAGGCCTAGGAATTGAATGCAAGCTTGAACTAAGCCAAATGTAGCAATATCCGGACCCCAGAATTTCTCCGGGTCAAAAAGTTGATGATCGCCAAATGTTGCGACACGATTAGCAGATGCGATAACGGCGCATCGTGAGATCTCAACCTGCGAAGAACACCACACAACCACAACTCACAACATGGCGCCCTCGAGAGCATTCACACGCTTGATTCTGGCTCAGCAACGCCGGGCAACGACTCAGTGCGCGGCCCGCATTGCTCGCGGCTATCATTCCTACGACCACCCGTCGCCTTCCGGCGCCTTCAACGCTGCCGAGCGCGCCATCCTCTCGGCCGCCTACGCGCATGTTCCTGAGCACGGCTTCACGCAGCATGCGCTGGCCCTCGGAGCCCGTGACGCTGGATACCTAGACATTAGCGCCAGCCTTTTGCCCAATGGGCCCTTCAGCCTGATCAAGTACCACCTCGTTACGAAACGTGAGAGCTTGGCACCCAAGAGCGCCCACATCTTTGGCCCCGGAAGTGAGGCCGAGAGGCTACCCGTCGACGACAAGGTCGAGCGTTTGACCTGGGAGAGGCTATTGGAGAATAAAGACGTGATACATCGGTGGCAGGAGGTAAGCTCTATCCATTATTGTTCTTGTCCTCCTATTTTTTTTCTTTTCTTCTCCCCCCCCCCACCACTTACACCCTTAAACGTCCGGGTTATGTTGTCCATTACTTCTGTTAACTTTGAGATCTACAGGCCCTTGCAGTAATGGCCCAGCCTTCTCTCGTCCCATCCTCCCTCCGTGAACTAGCATTGCTCTCCGACGAGATCTACCACCTTTCGGGCGACAAGGCTGTCGATCCCACATGGTACACGAAGCGCGCTTCACTTTCCACCATCTATGCATCCACTGAGCTCTTCATGACGAATGACCGTTCCTACGGTTACGATGATACACGCGCATTCTTACAACGGCGGTTGCGAGAAAGTAGCGGCCTCGGGGCAGTTGTCGGGAATATTGGCCAGTGGGTCGGCTTTACTGCAGCTGCTGGCGTGAATGTGCTCAGAAGCAAGGGTATGAGAATATAGGAAACCGTACAACTCTCTTGGAGCTGGTGCTTCGTGAGAACACGCATCATTACGATGACATGGGATCAAACCCACAAGTCGTGGTAAAGTACCAGTTACTTTACTTGTGTATATTAGTCATATCATGTAAGTCAAACGTCATGTATCATACGTACCACTAGGTAAAACATAGAATAGCTGCCGTCTGCCTGAATGGAATGCCAGTTGGCATGTGAGTTGTAACTTCATAACACGAACCAAGTCTCACTTATATATCAATAACACCTTAGCATGGTTCTTACGCTCATACCTTAAAACCTGAACGCTAGAGCCGAGGAAGTGATCGCGCTTTCGGACCAGCCTCAATTGAAAAATATAGAAAGCGAGGGTCTTTTTCTTCTCTCAATTGGGATGATCGCAAAATTCCAAACTTTGAGACTATAGAGCAACGACTTCTTGAACCGCCGAAGGGGGTATATAAAACATAAGATATTTACAGCGTCCATGTCTTACAAGGAGCCTATGAAGCCCAAAACCCGTCGCGCGCTGAGGCCTGCACAAGCTCACTCTCAAGAGCCGCCGTTACTTTGCATGTATCTCCGGATATTGCGATTGTCCTTGCGAGGTTTGGCCATTCTGGTATATTTGTCAGTTCTAGACAAACGATACGTACATATCTCATGACTTACTTGATCACTTTTACATCTTTTCCAAAATCCGCTCTCGTTTCAACGACGTTGGGGGTAATGAGGATGAATTGTTTGCCGACAGACCTGCGAGCGGCCGAAACCTTGGTTCAGAGTAAGCAAACGCGTAAGGAAATACGTGCTGGGCGTACTCACCAGCATCTCAGCGGCCACCTTTCGATTGATCGAGTCCATGAAAACATCGAACTCATCAAGGCATCTCAATGGCGACCCCATGGCTTCCCAGATGGCCAGCAGTAAACAAATACTTGAAAAAGACTTCTCTCCACCGGAAAGCGTCTTTGTGTTGCGACCGGATACCTCCTCTCTTGTTTGATCTGGCTCAACCTCGATTGCGAGCTTCTTGTTGACATGGTCCAGTAATAGCCTTCCCCGGAAGGATCTCTCGCTCAGGAGATAGCTAAAGTTGGTGCGTGCAGAAGCCGAGATCATGCGTTGAAACATCCTCCACTTGTCCAATCGCCTCGTCAATGCATCCTTGCTTGCTTTGACATCCAGTTGGCATTCGCGTCGGGCTCTTCTTGCCGCGTTGTAGTGCTCAAAAGTCTGCGCGGCCTTTTCGTTGATCTGCTGCTCATTCATCCCGTGACGGGCCCTGAATTTCTCCAGCTGTTCCCTGATAGCAGAGAACTTTTGCTCTATGCTTTGGTAGGTTTCCCCTTCCGGAATGAACACTCGCTCCGGGCAGACGCCCATGGCGCTCTCAGTGTACTCCTCTACCTGTCGCCTTTGCCTGTCGCGCCTTGTCAGTGCCTCCTCCTTCCTCACTTTAGCCATCTCGAGATCATTATGAGCTGTATTCTTGACTTGAACAGTAATGCTCCTTACAGACTCTAGGCGTCCGATCTTGTCGTCAATCTTTTTGATTCGCTCATCGAAGGTCGCAACACTGTTCCGGGCATCGTCCAAAATCTTCCTTTTTGCAGTAGCAGCCAGGTTCAGTTCTTGCTTCTCAACAACAATCTCTCCGTACTGCTGGCCATATTGCTCCTTGTTTGCCCGAGCCTTCTGCAACTCTTCGCGCAAGCCCTGCAGCCTCAAGTCCGTCCCGTCGTACGCATCAAGAGCCTCTGTAGCCTCATTGACGTGAGCTTCGGCTTCACGTATAGTTCTCTTGAGCTGGGCCTCCCGGCTTTTATGGCGTGTGACTGCCTGGCTACACTCCACGGCTCTTTGTTGGAGGTCCCTCTTTGAGGCTTCGAGGTCTCTCAAATCCGACTGCAACTGCGTAAGAAGCTGCTTCTGGTAATTGATCTGGCCTTCCGTGTCGGTTTGCATACGTCTCCTCTCAGAGGCATCGATGGGTTCTTGTGTCAAGCTACCCTGGGGCCCAGGCTTGATAGTCACGCCATGGCCTCTCTTCACAGGGTGGAAGGAGATACTCAGCTTGGCATTTCGGGGTGCTTGGCCCTCGCTCATGACACGATGGGCCTCTTGAAGATTTTCAATGAGGACAATATTCTCGATTGAATTAGTCATAATCAATTGATTCCGGACTTGGTCATTGTCAAACTTGAGCACTCTCAAGATAGTATCGTATTGTTCATCGGGTTCCTTCAGCTGCTGGATTAGTCTATCAGGGTTACTGATGTAGATGGTTGGCTGCCTGTGGCCAATTTGCTTCATCAGAGTTATAAGACGAGTTCTGTCATTTGGGCTTGACACAAGGAATGCATCCAATGTTCCTCCGAACATACTTTCAAGTATTGAGGACCACTTGGGCTTCAGCAGCTGAACATGAAGCCCCAATGGCCCAATCGGTTTTGTAGCGAAACCATTGTCTCTTTCAATGAGGTTTAGAAGTTGCCGGGTCTTAGGATGGAAGCCGGCCATGGGGTCTCCTCGACTTGACTGGAGATTGATCATCCGGTTTTCGGCAAACTTGACTTCCTTTCTCTTGTCTTCGACTGGCCTTGTAGCTTCCTGAACCCGTCGCTCAGCCTCTGCAAAGGCTTCATCAAGTGGCTGGCTTTGGGCGCCGTGCTCCTCCCTGGCCCTCGTAGCTGCCTTGAAGGCCTCTCGCGCTTGATTCAGAGCTTGCGACTTTTCTGCTACGGCTCCACCATTGGCTTCCTCGAGCCGTTTTTCCTCTTCTCGGATCTTTCGCTCGCATTCTTTGACGTCATTGGCAGCATTCTGGAGTTGGCCATGGGCCTCACGTTCCTGTGTGTGCATTTGCTGCACTGATTTCTTGGCTTCGTCGAAGGCCTCCTTGGCGTCCTCCTTTTTCTCTTGCAGTTGAGCTTCGTCTTGACGAAGCCCTTCAGCATTTTCCCTGGCCGACGCGATGACTTGATCGTGCTTCTCCAGTTCCTCAGCTTTGGCTTGAATCTCCAATTCCAGTCGCCGGATATCCCCATTAGCCATGACGATGTTGTTCTCCCTTTCTTGCAGAATGACCTCTTGTTCCACTACCTGAGCCCAAGCAAGCTGTTTGACGTAGAGCCTTTGTTGGTGCCTCAATGTGTCGTTCTTGGTGGCGGTCTCCTTGAGCTTTCTGTACTTCTCCATGTCTGCCTTGATGGCCCGATAGTTGTCCTCATAACCGGCAAGCTTGGCCTCGGTTGCATCAATATGCTCGTGGATGAGCAGAAGATCGTCGCTCAGCTGTTGCAACTGCGTGCCCTGCAAGAAATAGGTGTACTTCTGCGCAGGGGTGGCAGAGTTTAAGAACTGCCTTGCGTTATCCTGCGACAGGACATTGAGGGGATTGTCAACCTGGAGGCAGTAGTATTCCACGACATCTTGCACATCATCCCTTTTCTGTGAGATGATCCGACCGGCAGCAGACTTTAGCTTAAAGCCACTCGTGCCATTGATTCTAAAGGTTCGCTCCACAATGATGGAATCGCCGAACAGATCAGGCTTGTAGGCGTCAGGCCCTTGGTTTTTGATGCTCACGGTGAGGCTTCCTTGAGACTCGCCTTCTTTGATAAAGGACTTCAGGCTCGCACCACGATTGGTGGAACTCGCCTTTCCACCCAAGCAGAGGGTAATAGCAGTGAGGATGGCGCTCTTGCCACTGCCATTTTCACCGACTATGAAATTGAGAAGTGGGCCGAGTTCAACAATCAGATGCTCATGGCACATGAAGTTCACAATAACGATCCGCTCAATGACAGCATTTAATGCTGCGTGGTTGTCGCCAATCAACTCGGGCCGGTTCTTGAGGCGCTGCGTCGCTCGCATATCATCGTCTTCTATATGTTGAAGGTGCTCGAAATTCATATCACGATCATGTTCGAATTGAGAGGCTGGTGGGAGTCCTAAAGCAGAGTTTGGTTCCTCCACCCCACTGTCATCATTGTCCGAAGACATTGCTTCCGAACGCTGATGGCGAGAACGGGTCGAACCGTGATTGCGCGCATCGTCAGACAGGCGGCTCTTTTTCCTATGCTACATGTGTCGACCATGGTTAGATGTGCATCAGTCAGACGGAAGTGGCCTGTTTGACTCACACTATCTCCACGAGAACTGGAAGCTGCTTCGTCGGCAGAGACGCCATCGTCATCGCCAACATCTTCAAAGGCTATATGCCTGGAGCGCTTTGCAGTGGCTGACGGCATCGTGCGGTGACTTGTATATCCTCGTGGGTAAGGCCGCCGGTCGGTGATTGGGGCCAGGGCCAGAACAACTTCGAAACGGTCAATGTTGACTCCGTCATGTGCATAAATCGTAACGCCAGGGGACGTATGTCTGAATCAGAACAGGGATTGCAGTAAGCCTTCGCTTGGGTTCCGGCCTGAGGCAAGTCGTGTGAGCCTCGACGGTCGGCCGTTATTGCTAGCTGGCTCGAGCTATGGAGATTGACACTTGCGATGTATTACGCGAACAAAATTAACTTCTGATTTTCTTGGACGGGAGACGCGACTGACACTGGTCGATCTCCAGCGCGACGCGACGCTGTTAATGGGATTCGTGGGCACGCTAGCGAGCTCTGTACCTGAAAGTACCTGCCTTGTCTGAGTCAATCATTCATTCTGTCTGCTGGAGGGAAGCCCCGCTATCAACCCCCAGTGCCCCTCCAGAAAACACTGGTAAACACAGAGCCCCGCTGCGCGTACCAGAAAGTGCTGTGCTGAGTCTTCATAGCTAAGCTTAGGGTTTAGATTAAATTTAGGTGGTTACCACTTTGCTCATACGCAATCACTCTTGGTAGCTCGGTAGCCTGGGATTCAATGTGACGATCCACCAATTCAACAAAAAGAAGAAGAAGAAGGCTCGCTTCGCAACAAGAGCACACGTTGAAGGATCAATCTGCATCTTAGACACACCCTTCATCTACTGCGACTTCCTGAGGTGAAAAATTTGGCCGACCGGACGGCAACTAGAAAGAACAAGTCGGCGTCTCGCGGTAACATCTTCTCATAATGGCCTATGAGCCAGCCGAAGAGTCGACTGCGGACAATGGTAACTTTTTCGGGGAAGGCTTCAATGGCTTTCCACGGCAACTTCCCGAAAACTGCGTCGAGTATATCATTCTGATCATTGACAACCAATTGGAAGCGCGCAAGGTTTTGTCCTCGTTAGAAGCCGTTCGAAAAGCTGCAGTGCGACTTACTGAGAAATTGACCAAGGACTACATATGGCAGCGGGATGGACTGCAACTTGATGTGCAGAGCGACAAGGGACTCGTTTACTTGCGTGGTACCAGCTACTATGGCGACTCTGTTGAAGACGAATGGCTGATTGTCTATCTGCTCCGAGAGCTCTCCAAGTCCTTTCCGAATCTGTGGATTCGCGTGTTCGACAGCGACGGAGAATTCTTGTTAGTCGAAGCTGCCAACGTGCTGCCCTCGTGGTTGAGCCCCGAGGTCGATAGTAATCGTGTGTGGATTCACCAGGAGAAGCTGTTCATCATCCCGCTAGACAAGAACCCTCATGGAAAACGACCGTTGACCCTGGAGGATGCTGTCCATCATCTCAAAACGGAACCACGGTCAAATCTTGTTCATTCCTCGTTCATCGAGGCGGAGGCTTTCTATCGCCTTGAGAAGTATCCTGGCCAGATCAACGACTCACTCCATCATTCGCTTGCCACCATTCCGCGGAAGCTGGCGTACATACTACACGAGAAGCCCACGGCCATTGCTCTTGCTGTCGAGGCATTCTATCTCAGAGACCCCATCTCCATGAAATCCTTACTATCCCCCATGCCAGAACTCAAATTTCCCCCTCAGGATTTGGTCACTGTCAGTGTCAAGTTTACCAAAGTTCTGTACGCTCAATTGAAATCTCAGCGGTTCACGCAACCCCCGGCATGGGTTCCTGTCATCGAGGCGGCCGAAAAGGGGATATCAGGTGCAGCCGAGTCTCAGCAGTCTCTTGATCGACTGGAGCTTGGCATGAAGATTACAAGCGGTTCTGAAATGCTAGCCACCAATGCTGAGACGAAAGATAGTCGTATAGCACGCGAGGTTGCTATTCTCCTAGACGATCTCGAAGAAGACGGAGATTCAATACTCCCAAGCGATGCCCTAATCCAGGCATGGCCAAACGTCTCACGAGACGATGACGATTCGTGGATGGACATCAACTATGCAGATTTTGAAGATCAACTTGACGGCAGGGGCGCCGCTGCAAGAGAGAAGAAATCCGGATTTGGCGACACAGCGGCGCAAGCTGATCTGCAGAAAATCGTATCACGTTTCGAGTCTTTCTTGAACGATGAGACCGCCGGCTACGAAGGCGCAGAATTGAACGACATGGATTTTGACGACGACGACTCCTCGGACGACGATGAGAATAGCGAAGATGAAGACAAGGATGTCAGTTTCGATGAAGAACAATTCTCTCGCATGATGAGAGAGATGATGGGTATGCCATCCGAGGCGCAAGCAAAGCCGAGCTATGATGTCAAGGCGAAGGCGCGACAGGGGGATTCGGACTGGCCCAAACAAAAGGTGCAAAGCGAAGACGATGACAAAGAAGACGAAGAAAAGGCGATTCGACAGCTTGCAGCACAGATGGAGTCGGAATTGAACGAGCATGGTGCCCTGAGGCTTGATTCCAAACCTGAAAAGACCAAGGCACTGAAGCAGAGAGGCGATCAAACAAGCGCAGAGGCGGAAGGGGGCATCACGCACGGGGAGACGGACGATGGCAGCAGCGATGAGGAGATCGACATTGATTACAATCTTGCAAAGAATCTGCTGGAAAGCTTCAAGGGCCAGGTCGGAATGGCAGGACCCGCCGGGAATATTTTGGGTATGATGGGGATGAAACTGCCACGAGATGAGGACGAGGATGAGGACGAGAAGAACAAAGATTAAAAAGAAAAAAAAAGTAGATGAAAGTCATCACAACACGCAATATCTCGCTTCCAGAAGGAGATGTGCCGATATAGTTAGACAGGATGGACCGTGTGTCATGAAAACCTGGACCACTTGAGTGTAAGTAAGTGAAAAGCAGACTCTGTTAATTTCGAAGGCTGGTCTTTTGGGTCATGCGTGGTATCAATACGGGCATACCCAATACATAGGCTATCCATGTTTATCTAGCTAACCTACCTAGTTGTATATAGCTTCCCAGTCATCTATCTAGGGAGGTAATGCGACTGACTTATATGTCTTTGAAGAATTGCGAGAAACAGTACTCAAGTGACAAGTATGTGCTGAATATAATTGCTGAAATACATGCCTAAGCGTCAAGCAGCTTTATTGGCCCAATGTCTACTTTATATAAGTAGGTAGTACATTAGGTACTTTAGGTAATTTTAGCCGCTGCCCTGCCCAGCCCAGCCCAGCCCAGCCCCACTAGACACAACGACGTCACTGAATTGCAAATGGGATCAGGCTCTCAGTCAGTGCACGCCCACTTACACATCCATTGCTTCCAGTGTCGTGCCGACCACTCTATACGCATTTCGCTCGCATCGCCAACGTGCGGTTCTCCCATGATCAAGATTACGACGATTACAACCCGTACAACTAGGCTGAGCTGCCCTCACTCGCTCTCCTGGATCAGACATTCGCAGAATCAGGATCCAGCAGCAGGCAAGACGTTGGGGCAGGACTTCATCGCCTCCGAGACCCACCGAACGTCAGTCGCTGGCTAGGCATGTGTGAGACGCATCGACTAGAGACGTAGCCTGGTTTACACAAAGACTGACAAGTCGCAAGTCTCGGTGACTACGATACGACATATACGTGCCATTTCCAACGTTATTGCTTGGCCATTTCCCACACTTTGGATTTGTTGCGCCGGGATTGCGCCGTCTGGTTACTGCCTACTGCCTACTGCCTACTGCCGCGCTGTTCGCCATAGACAGCCTTCGCGATCCTCGGAACTCTTGGCTGGCCCGATCCATGCCAGCCTCGCACAACAAGAGTCGAGCGCAAGGATGTGGTCAAACAGAGCTGTGAGCAATTTACAAAAGACGTATGACGAAAGCTATCTGAAGTGCTCAACCGCCGTCTACTACGAAGGCCAAGTAGGTATTTCCGTCCTCGGGGGAACATATTTGACTAGGCAGGATGGCTGATCAGCAACGACTACCAGAGCGATGAAACAGAGGCTATGCGTTACTGGAGGTCGGCATTGGATTTGATCACGCAAAACACCTCGGGCAAATCGAGTTACTCGCCCAGAACTGAGACCGAGAGGACCCTAACAGAGAGCCTCAAGACTCTAGAAATACAATGCAAAGAAAGAATTGATCTGCTAGAGGCATTGAGGATCTCGAGGGAAGCCGACTCCGCTCCACGCAGTGCATCGCCGCGTGATGCCAGCAGTCACACTGCCCCAGATACTTTAGAAAAAGGCTGGATAGGCGGCGGTACCATCCCTGCAGTGGCATACCAAGATCTCTCTCGTCCTACTTTACCACCGCGCCCCTCGATGATGTCGCGGACATCGTCTGAGCTCGCCGTAGTTGGGCGGAACTTGGGCAATGTCAATCTTGGCACGGCCGCTTCCTCTTCTAAAACACAGCCACCATTGCCACCCTATGCTGCAGCCACGGGCTCAACGAAGAAAGGCTCTAGATCTCCAAGTCCCGATAAGCGGACCATGAGGACAACTCTGCGGTCGAGTAAAGGGAGTAAGCCGATCAAGAAGGACCGACGTTCTTCTTCGAAAACCGCAGAACCACCTGGCGCAAGTAAAGCAGCAACATTGGCTTGGTCCAGCATTGTTGCAAGAGATAACGTAAGCAGACCGTCACTGCCAGATACGTCTACTACCCCCTCGAAAACATCATACTCGTCTCCAAATCACTGGGATAGCCACAGCCGCAGGCTCGTCACCTCTCCGGATACCAACAGTATGCAATCATCCCATTTGGAAGCATCCTCAACGAAGCACATTGATGACTATACTGATCCTGGTCCCTCGCCTCTTGCTGTCGGTGCGGCATCTAGCGCACTCAGCTACTTGTCGGCGCATGATAGAGTGGAGTCCAGTCCTGGAAATTCACGACATGACCGGTCGGCCAAGTCAAAGAACAGCTCATCCGCCGCCCAAGATGTGCTTCGCAACCCTGCATCGTCCCCGGCGGAACTGCCTAGCTCTGGTCGAAGCTCGAGTGATTTGCCAGGAAGGAGGAAACCAATCGGTCACGGGACGCCACCCAATAGTGCTGCGAAACGTACCACTCGTGCAGCCCGTGAAGTGCGAGAAGCCAGCCCCCTCAACTCTTCAGGATCATCGGATGAAGCACCCTCAAGCCAACCCTTGCGTCGTACCAGGAGGAAAAAGCACGAGGAAAACCACATTCCTGCAGAGTTAGCTCACTCGGGCGATTCGGGCGACGACAAAGAGGAAAAGAAATCGAAAAGTGCATGGGAAAAGAAGAAGCGAGCGATTCTTAAGAAATTACCTCCCGGTGTCGACAGTGCTGCTGCCAAAGCCATATTCAACGAGATCGTGGTACAGGGTGATGAAGTGCATTGGAGCGACGTGGCCGGACTGGACGTTGCCAAGAATGCTCTACGCGAAGCTGTCGTGTATCCATTTCTGCGACCTGATCTCTTCATGGGCCTCCGCGAGCCAGCCAGGGGCATGCTTCTGTTTGGACCACCAGGGACGGGCAAGACAATGCTCGCCAGGGCTGTGGCAACCGAGTCCAAATCAACCTTCTTTTCTATTTCCGCTAGTAGCTTGACAAGCAAATATCTGGGTGAGTCGGAAAAGCTAGTCCGGGCTCTCTTTTCTCTCGCAAAAGCCATGGCGCCGAGTATCATCTTTGTCGATGAGATCGATTCGTTGCTCTCGCAACGATCAGGTTCAGGGGAGCACGAAGCAACTCGAAGGATCAAGACAGAGTTCCTCATACAGTGGAGCGACCTGCAGAGGGCTGCAGCAGGCCGGGAAAGTCCTGGAGGGAGTAGGGACGTGCCTGGCGATGCTAATCGAGTCTTGGTCCTTGCGGCAACGAACTTGCCCTGGGCCATTGACGAGGCAGCAAGACGCAGATTCGTGCGGCGACAATACATACCCCTACCGGAGCCCGAGACGAGAGCAACCCAATTAAGGACGCTGCTCGGTCAGCAAAATCATAGTCTGACTGCAGACGACATGGCTGAATTGGTCGCCTTGACTGATGGCTTCTCCGGCTCTGATATCACTGCACTCGCCAAGGACGCTGCCATGGGCCCGCTCCGGTCGTTGGGCGAAGCATTGCTACACATGACCATGGATCAAATACGGCCAATAGAGCTCATTGATTTCAAGGCCAGTCTTGGTACAATTCGCCCGAGCGTGAGCAAGGAAGGTTTGAAAGAGTACGAGGACTGGGCTAAGCAGTTTGGTGAGCGTGGTGGTTAAAATTTATTGTTCAGATCAAGATCAAATACCTATTGTTACTGCACTTGTCTTTATGACTTAGCTATACGACGACCGCTAGAGTCGGCAACTTTGATTTTGGTTCTACAATAGTACAGCGCTCCTGAGTGATAAGCCGTTCTGCGACCTGTGAGCATGACTGTGTTGTTTGCGGCATGAAAACGTGGCCGTCTAGCTGATTGCATCCATTGTATTTTGAGCTTTCCCTCGCCATTGTACAATATAGTACAGAGTGATTTATATATACATGACCACACAAATACTCAGTGAGCAGCCCGTGCCCCTCTCCAATCATCGGACTGCGGACCTGGTGTTCTTCAAACCACCATGACCATGTCCCACTTGATTTGCCCAGTAGATATTTTTTTTTCCCCGTTTAATCCACATCCCCAAGAGTGCCCAGAGCCTGTTCCATCCTCTTCTCCTTGGCTTGCACTCTGGTCTGCTCCCATGCCTCCCGGCGTGCTCTGCGCTCCAGCTTGGCGGCTCTCTGGGCCTCTGTCTGCTTCTGGATCTCGGCATCCCTCTCGGCGCGCCTGGCCAGCTTGGCTTCGCGCTTCTCGGCATATTGCTCGAAGAGCTCCTGCTCGCTCAGTACAGGCGGGCGCTCGTCAATAGGCGGGCCATGGGGTGCAATAATGTGTCGCACAATATGTCGTACGTGCTGGGAGGCGCGCCAGCCAGACGAGATGTTAATCACGTCGCCCTGACGCACCGAGTTGTTCGGGTCGTGGACCAGGTGATAGGATGGTACTTGAAAACTCTAAACCAGACGACGCAACATGATCAAACGTTAGCTTTTGCTTGTCACCCAATATATTGTATTTCCTCCCCATCTCTGTCCAATCCTCACTATACACGTCCTAATCGTCGCCGTAGCCTCCGGGCCGGCAATTGAGATGTCACAGCCTAGGCCTTGGGGAACAAGTAAAACGGAGCATCTCACCTTTTGGATCTTCTTTTCCCACCTCTGACCCCATAACCGCACCTTGACCGTCTTGTCCATGGTGCCCGCGGTCACCACGACGGCAGTCTTGGATCCCATCAGCTGTCGACCCGTGTTTTTAGTGTGGGCAAGCGCCTTTGCCGATAAGTTGGCGGCGGCGGTTCTGGCCGGTGTGGCCATTGTGTATGTGGGTTTGCTTCGTCGCGCGATCTCTGTGGTGGTTTTTTCCCCCCCGTCTATATTTCAGCGGTGAGCAATGTCGCTGGGGGTTGCGTCGAATGCAGAAATATTCAGATGTGATTATGACGTGTGTCGCCACGAAGCTTTCGATTGGGTTGGGGTGGTTTTGCAAAGGCGCCGCCGCGGGTCGCACGCTGAGTTTTGATGCCAAAGGCTCCTCGAACCATTTGAAGCTCGAAATATTTCGGACATGGATGCAGGCGCCGGATTAACCCCTGTTGCCGCGCTAGTGGTCGTAGTGCTAGATGCGATTCCATTGCTGCCGCCTCTAGCGACTGCGTGGGCGAGACGCTCTTATGCAGAAAGTATTGAAACCCGGATTATTTCGGTGTTTCATTTCTGCTTATTTCAATTCTATATCTACTGTGTAATTACTGCATCTATTATTTTGCACATTATGGGAATTATTCCAAACTTTTTTTTTTTTTTTTTCTGTTTAGCAATTCCAGGTCATAGCTCTGAGTCTCATACGGATTGTCCAAGATTTTAGCGCAACTGTGGCTACCTTTGTACCAATCCAATAACATGATTTTTACTCTTCTTGTACTCAACATGGTATTTTCGTTCCTAGATGTACTGAGAGATTCCCGGCTGTATTATTTCTAATTTCTCGATCAATTCGTTCCATAGCCTCCTTTGCACCTCGGAGCCTTCCTCACTATTCACAAATGTTGAAAATCTATTGGCTGATTAGCAGGGAATAGCAGGGAACCAAAGTGCAGTCAGTATACAGGGACTTATTATAATAGAACGCTACTTACTCTCCAGCTCGGCAGTCATCCAGGTATTGGCCATTTGTCTGTGGTGAACCTTCTGCTGCGTGAACAAGCGTCCGGCTTCCTTCTTCGGGGGTGCGACCTATTACACGCATAAAGATACGGCGAGGGATACCCAGAATGCCGCGTTGGACCTCTCGATTCAGATCTGTGACCACGACTCCGGGGTTTACTTGAAATTGAAATCAGCAATCATCATAGGATTTCAGGAAACGTTTTCGGTGAATCCCCTTGTCTCACTGAGGCAGAGCTGTCTTTGGCGCTTGACCACTTACATATGGAAGTGACGATGCTCCCTGGCTTGGGGGATGCTGAGACCTTCTGTGAGAACTCACGAAAGATGAGTGTCTCCATGAGTTTTGAAACATTATATCTATGGCCGGAGGGTTAGTGAACGATTCAGGTCACATGATGGATCCAAATGTCAAGGTCGTACCTGTCCCAGAGCCTTGCCTTTTCTTTCTTTGCAGTCTCTTCCAAGATGCGATCCGCCTTCCTCTCTGGAAACAAGGTGATCCAGTGGACAAAACTCCCCGTGAATGTCAGGACAACATCCTTGAGGAAGCGGGTCGACGTCTCTCTCAGTTTTGGCAGCAACAGCAGGGCCAGCAAAAAGGTGCTGACCACGTTGACCGTAATGGTGGTTTCATTGTCCTCAGCCATGCTCCATTTCTGCGTCAAAACCCCGGCGTTCTCGACCACAACATCAAGGCGCTCGAGCGTGGTGTTGACCCTGTCGGCAAAGGCCTTGACCGATGCATACTGTGCGAGATCTAACTCCCAAACTTCGACAACCCCTTTGCGACCGCTCGAGGCTTCAATTGAGGCTTTGGCGACATTGCCCTTTTCGATGCTGCGGACCGCGAGGATGACCTTGGCAGCCTCTAGGCGCACGAGGTGACGTGCTGCTTCAAGTCCCAAGCCTGTATTGGAACCCGTCACGATGATTGTCTGGCCGGCAAAAGATTTTCTAGGGACTGGGAGCGTGAGGAAAAAGTGCGATTGAAAGAAGGCCAAGAAGGTGCTGAGAAGCCCCATCTTGCAGATGTGGTACTATTCCGATGTAATTGTATCGTGTTTTGTTTCTTTTTGGCAGAATATTCAATGGTTGTGCCTAATATGTTGTGGAGCCAGTAATGGAAAATTGAACGCTTCACATATCAACTACCATATATCAAGACAAGATAGATTGGAAAAACCCTCTCAGGACTGCCTCGGTTTCGGAATGTTTTAGAACGCCGTGGTTGCCGTGTTTGGGTAAAGGGGCAGGCAAATAACTTGATTGGTTCAGTTTAGGGCAGCTAACGTCTTGAGGCTAGTTGACCCTTAGATACTGTATACTACTACCTACAACTGCCTGCACATGTGCAAATTAGCAGGAACAAACGGTTACACACTCAGCTTTACACGCCAAACACGATGATTTTTTTTTTCGGGTCACGATTCACATGCTTGTTCAAGTCGAGGGAGTATTCGTGCATCGGACAATTTGACAATTCAATGGCAATAATAACTGTAGGCATGAAAAGAAACAAGAAACTAATCGCCTGGAATAGTCCAAAGCACCTGTGAGATAGTCAAATCGTCCATTTGCATCATGTGTCACTTGAAGGGGAAAAAAATATCAAACGTAGTGTTATCTTCAGGTATTAATCATTGTGAATATTTCCCACTTTTTGAATATCAAAGTCTAGCAATAAACTAATAGGCCATATGTGTCCCGAAAGGGTTCAAAAGACATGGACGACTGCTGCAACTTCAGTGGAGGAGGATGAGGAGGAGGAGGAAGAGGAGGAAGAAAAAGAAGAAAAGAGTGAATCGAATGACACTTGCAAAAATATAGGCCGGATCTGAGGTTCGAACTCAGGACCTCTTGGAAGGAGAACCCTCTTGGATATTGCCCAAACCAAGAACGCTTCCACTGCGCCAATCCGGCTTCCATTTCTTTGTTGGAATTTCAAGAGTTTAGAATGCCTTGTCTTTGTAAGGCAAGCGACGCCGATGATACAATCCTAGTAATACGCAAAGACGAAAATCCCTTTGTTGCCGCACGTGTTGGTTGTTGGTGCAAACGCGATGGTTTGGCGATACCATTTTGCCCACCCTTCGAATATGCACACACTGAAACAAAACTGCCATACATTGCCCAAGTCCCTGAAGTCGCGCGTTCTATGTGAGTCATGACACCGTCAATTATATCCAGTTTGATGCTCCGACAGGTGCTGAATCTGTCTTTTCCTTCTTTGTGAAACGCAATGTTAAAGAGGAATGCTTACATCGCAAAAGCGTTTGGCATAGTTTATTTCGATATTTAAGAATAATCCATAATCATTTCTTGCACAGTGACTCCTTTGTGCGAACTCGAGCTCAAATTATTTCGTGTGAATCCTGATTACTGAGGTCCTTGAGAGCTCGAAAGTCCCGTTTATTTTGTCAAGAACTTCGTACCAAAGCTGTTGGGGTTGATGAAGAAACCATTTCTCTTTTTCATCAATACCAGCACAGTTTCAAACATATGTTTCATCGTGGCCGCAACGGAGAGTTATGTTTGGCGTGAATAGTTGCTTTCACGGGACCAACACGTGGACGATATCTTATATAATAGCTTGAATGCCCGTCAACGCCCGAGATTGCAAACATTGGTGAATGGAGTTATACATCGCCTTGCAAAGACCTGATACTGAACAAAAATGCTGGTCTTGTTGGTAGTTTCCTTGAAAATCAGAGAGGGGGAAGGACGATGGTTGTCCACATGCTCAAGAGTGACACATGTAGTATATTATAGAAGTGCGTATCCAGAGATGGGGCCCAATACCGGTAATGCAGGATGATGTATTCGCCATGTGGACGATTTATTGAATGCTATGGTCTCCCAACGGGGTATTCCGTTGTAAGAAGTTGCCAGATTTGGTCAGTTGGAACTATTCAGATCTGGTGAACTACTAGATGAGGAAAGACAGTATTATACTCACTCGCTAGGGTCAAGTATGCCTTTGGCTGGTACTCATAAGTCTGCTCATCTACATAGACACACATTTGCAAAGTGTTTCGCTATGATCAAGTATAGAGAAAGAGACACAGAGGACGCGACATGGTGTAAGACATGGGTAGTACGATAACAGTTCTGACATCTTCACGGGATGGGCATCACATAGTCATTAGTCTGCATGGAGTGACAGGCCAGCAGTTTCGACGAATGATTGACCTGTATTTGCAGCATTGCAAGGGCCAGACAGACTCAATAGAATAGGCTTGCTGGATGGAAAGTGACGGAATTTGACTCATGCACGAGATTGCTTACAACCTAGAACCTACGCTGTAAGCGATGAGGATGCAATGCAGGTGAGACAGGCCCACAGCGTCCGAGTCGGAGAAGAGTACCTAACCTAGATAGATAGCTTATGTAGTACTGAGCGAAAGGGACTCTCTCTTTGCCCCCATCTTTTTCTGCCGTGCCGCTTGGGGCAAGATGATTCGTACGCTGCCAATTGTTGATATATTATAAAGATCACTCGGCAGTCATTATATATAGACATGTATGTAGTGCAAAGAGTCACGGGTCGGAAGGGTGACCCGTATAGATCGGAGTGCACATGGATCTAAAACTGGGTAGGATTGGGGTGGGTATCGTACCATTGCCCCGAACCAGCAAGGCAACCAACCGAATTCCGTGCGTCCCTCCCCCAGACTGGGGGCTCTGGGGGTCCAAGATCGCAAACGGGTCCCGGCCAATATGCGGGCCTGATCAATGAGGATGAAGATCGCAAGACATTAACCATGTATGTGTAACCTATTTCCCGTTCACAAGGCTCTCTCTCGTTGGACAAATTCCTCCTTACGAATGATGTCAATAGTAAACGTGCAGGATATGATTATTGCATCTTACGCACATGCAACCAACTCGGTCGGTGGTGGTGGGGTAGCCAAAAAACACCGTAACCCATAATAAATACTAGGGAAGTCGCTGGCGGAGGGACGGGGGAAAAAAAAAAAAAAAAAAAAACTTTCTCGTGGGCAACCTCGCTTGTCAGCAACTCACCGTACGATTCCCATCCGTCCTCATACCTTTCTTTTCCCTACCTCTTTCTTCTATCTTCCCCAGATTTTGAAAAGTTTTGCCCAGCACTCCCGAAAGATCTACTCACAATAGTAGTGTTTCACTTTATACTCCCCTTGAGCCGCTGCATTGGATTGATACCCCGGTCTTTGTTCTCGTCTCGCCGAGTTCTCCCACCCATTTCATCATACAGACAAATAACCCGCCGTGTTCGCACTCTCTTATCTGAGCGGACATTTGCAGGGACAATCCAAGGCTCAAATCTCGCAACGCTTTACAGATTATCATTTATAATGTCGGCCTCTCCTCCACCGCGTGCCGGTAACAAGCGTCCTCGTAAGTGTTCGCCCCAGGGCATTTCGTACCTATTTGCTTGTTGGTTGTTTGTGTTCGAAGCAGAGCTCGAGACGAGACCTATGGATATGGAGCAGCAGAGACCAAAGTCACGTCCAGACACGACAATCGTTGTCAACGCAACAAAGTGCCTTTGGACCTTTGTATCTGTTTCTGTCCCTAGTTTTGTTTCTACTAGGTGCTTTTCCTGCTCTCTGCACCGCGAATACATCCTCGGCCTTGTTGGCTGGATGAGTCAAACTTCTGGGCAATTTCTGAAGTGGCACCGACAGAATGGCGGGTTGAACTCTTCATGCTGCCATGGAATCTGACGAGTCCAATTAACACCAATTCACATTCTCCCCCAAACCCCTTTCACAGTCTGCGTACCTCTAT